AAACTAATGAGGCCATCTGGGTAGAGTGAAAGGTTAGGTGCCGTTCGCTCCATATCTATCCCGCGTGCTGAACTACCTCCATCAGTGTCAGCTAATGCAAAGAAAGCCTCTGCAGATGGCACACGTTTTGGATGTGCCTAGAACAGTGCCGCTACTCGTAGGCATGCATTTCACTTCCTTGTAGCCTGCAGCAGACAAAAACCTACCGATCCGTAGTAACTTCGGTAGGGTACGAGCGACCGAATAAAATCTTCAGTAGTCATGTGCGGTTCGCCATGCTTTCGCTGAGTGCGGACAGTCAGCTACATAGAGCTGATATATATTTGACAATGCTGCGGACTCACCACTGATGCAAAGTAGTGGAAGACCTTTAGCGGGTGCGAGAATTTTCGCAAGCGGTTCTCATATTCCCCAATCCTATCCCGCTTCCAACTGTCATATGACTACATGACACCAAGGTAACTTATCAGAGTCAACCTCGTATGTGAAGTCCCGTCGTGAGCACGATTGAGCTGTTATTCTTACGTTGGTCTCTTTACCGTCGTCACAAACGACCGGGCTGCTGCTGCTGACGGCCCAAGTACATCCCGCAGCTACTGCTGTCACACCGAGCACCCATGCGGTTGACCAGCGCCATTGACGTGGTACGGTATGCCCTTGACTATGGCGAATAAATGGTGTCGATTGATAAGACCTGCCCCACAAGGTTCGCCATGCATTTGGGCGATTCATGAATACTTGTCGTGCCATTTTTCACCGGCTTCGCAGCCGTGCCTTCTTAGCGATACCGTCAGCAAACGTCCCATGCAATCATAACCCTAAAAACGCCGGCTAACTTACAGTTTGTTGCGTGCAGAGCGGACGGTCGAGGTGAACCAAAGATGCAGCAAGTCTGAAGCGCGTCGCCGGTGGTTGCTGACTCGCCACTCTTGCAGATCCCTCTCCACCGAAACAATGAATGGACAGCAGAACATGTTACGACTCTTGAGAACGCCAGTGGCAAAATGCCGTTTCGTACAATGTTCCCGAACGCAGACTAGACGGTTTACAAAGGAATCGCCCGTGGATTTCGATCCTGTCAAGAACCTCCAGCTATCTACAGCCAGCCTTCCACCTTCACCTCCGTTGAAACAGAAATTTATTTCGCAAAGAATGTCTACAAAGGAGTTGGAGCAAGTAGAAATAGGCATTGGAAACCATAGAAGACCCGGTAAGTATTTGCCGCATGGTCTGTACTGGGGATGCTCACCGAAAATTGAGCGCAATGCACAAATATCTTTGCAGAACGGTTGAGTGATTGGATAGCATTTTGGATGGCAAGTGGGTTGATTCATGGCCCCTTTCTGTGGGGCTTCAGGAGGAGATATATACATCCAGCTGTGAGTGCGTATCGTTAACATGATAATGAATGTTCGCAGTCACGAATCAAACCTGACCGTTGTCTTGGATTGTTGAAGCATTTGAGACAATTTCCGGCGTGCCAGGTGACCGTCCGTCATGCTTACAGAATCCTGCAGGCCTACTGCCTCATCTTCCTATCCGGATTTAGGAATGGTAGGGGGGATGGCTCGGCATTTGAGAAGTTTACGAAAGATGCGTCACGACTATGGGTGGATTCACCATCTGTTGGACGAAGCCGAAAATGAACGCACGCATCTGATGATTTGGATGGTACTGCTCAGGCCTTGGCTTGTTGTCTGTTAATCTCTGTCTAATCCGACTTCATTTTAGCGTGAAACATCACCGAGTTATCTGGAGCGGCTTTCTGTAACCTTCGCCCAAGCCGCATATTTTCTCGCGTATGGATTATGCTATGAACTTTTACCTGGGATTGCGCATCGCACCACTGCATACTTGGGCGAAGAGGCTGTATGGCGCTACACGCTGCTTATCAATGACATTGACCATGGCAAATGCGAAAACAGAAAGGTAGGATGTACCCTCACCATGATAATCGCATTGCAAACGATACTGACGTTCTCTGCAGGCAGGTGACATTGCCCGAGAGTACTATAACCTTCCGGAGGATGCCACTCTGCGGGATGTGGCAGTCGCAGTGCGAATGGATAAAGGTACGATACGGAGCACCGTTTGCTTAGATTCTCCCGCGAGTTTTACGTAACTGTTCATTTCAGCATCTCATCGTGACATCAATCATCACTTTGCGGACCGTATTCATGCTGGTTGCGAGAACCTGCACGAGAATTACAGTCCTCGAAAACATTTCGTAGGACGGAAAGTCATTCCTGTTGGACCCCATGGCATGTCACTTGAAAGGACGGATTTTGTGATGGAACGCTGACGTACGCTATATTACACCAAATTTGAACGTTGCGTGAAAGTGCCGAAATATTTTGTAAACTTCAACGTATTGGTAATTTTAATTACAAAATGAATTGGTACATCCTCAGATTCCTCATCGTCCTCTCAGCAAACAAGCAATCCATATCCAAACACCGACCACCTCTCCTGCATATCCACAACACCAGACCGCACATGCAAATTCGCACCATTCGTCCGCACATGCATGGACATCAGTGGCCTGTACGGCCGCGAGAATGTCATTTGTATCCGTATATGGCAAAGATATTGGGCTCCCTTTCAGCCTATATACGGCACGGAGACGGGATAAGTCCTGTAAACTCGATAAAGAACTGGACACCTGCTCATTGGATGTCTGAGTGCAAACCGCGGTCTCGAGTGTTGGCAAAGCACTGAATAATGTTCTGGATGCCAATCTGGCAATTAATGGAAGGGAATGTCAGTACATCCCCTACAACAGACTGCTATTCTGTCATTTTGTTTCGGAATCGGTCCGAATAGAACTCACCGGTTCCATCGTGTGGGCTTATTTCCTCTCCATGTCTCAATCCCCGCTATTATTGCACGCTCCAGACGACCTTCAATTTCATGGAGTTTCGCAAGGTCGGGAGTCTTGTAGATTGGCTCTTCGAGCTAGTTATCGTGTGTGTGCATATCCATGAGCTCGTGCTTGAAAATCGCTAAGTCTGCTATGTACTTACCTGCAGACTTGGACCCTCAGGTTTGGGAAACGCTCGGTGGAACAGTGGGCGCCAGCTGCGGTTATCTCGTAAGTTAAATGACATTCGCGCTGGATCCGCTTGCTGCTGAATGTTGACCCAAACCTGAATAAGGAATTTTGCATTTAAACATTAATACCTTTCGCACGTTTAGATTCCTTTGACGTATGCTCACATTATCCTGGTCGAATAATTGTCCTATTTCGATCAGCGGGCAAAGTGCATCTTTCACGGTCCAAACTGTTCCATCCACTGGATCCCAGAGTTTCCACTCTTTCAAGATAGCCCGTTCGTGCTCTTCCCTGGTCAACACCCACGCGACACGCCCTTTGGCTACATCTCGTCCCAGGACCACCCAAGAGTCCACATCTTTTAAACACCATTTAAAATAATTACATAAGAGAATGGCATGCTCGGCGGCGCCCCCAGCTCCAAGGGTCATCATTTGCTCGGTAGTAGCCCAGCATGAGTGAGGGTATATCATTCTGGAAGGGAGATATGGCAGCAAAGTGACATAACGGAGAAGATGAACCGGTGTTGTTGGTAAGCCAGGGGGCGGGGCTTGCGGCCGTAGAAAACGACTTATAAGAGCTGTTTGTTGGGAGAGGGTGGTCGTCGTTATGCGAATGTGGCGGGATTGAACGTGAGCAGGTAACGTTGAAGGGAAACTGGAACAATAGCGGAGGAGATGCAGCGATTCGAGGGACTGAACCTTTGGGAAATTGTTAGCGACAGGCGGAACTTGAATGCGAGGAAATTTTCGCTTGGTCTGACGTAGGTACCTTTGTCTTTACTTCTGTCGGTTGAGCTAATGGTGGATCCAGCGTAATGAACATATAAAGCGAGGTCCCTTTGTTCGGCTCGATACCCACCGGCACAGCTGCTATAGGCATCGCCAGTGGGGCATGCTCATATCCTATTGACGCGCAAGGCAGTTTGACAGGGAAGTCGCCTGCAAGCTGTCCAAGGGAATGTAAGTAACTGAAATGAAATGTGATCAAAATTCACCTGAAACTCAGTTGCTTACACGAATCTGTTCGTGTATTGCAGAAAAGGGAATGGTTAGCGATCCAAGCCAGGTACGGTCTTTTCGACGGTGGATCTGGGTATCTCGGTCTCGTTCCTCCTATTGTGATAACGGGGTAAGCACCTACCGATCGGATACCCGGTCACTATCAAAGCACCCACCTGCATTAAATCAACTAGCATTTCATCAAAGAGGTCAAACCGGACTTCCTCAGCATCCAGTTCTCCCTCGACGCCTGCTTGATCACCACGTGGAGGTGTCACTGGAAGCATTAACGTTTCGTTCCATTGAGGATTCGGGCCTTCCCCAGTTGTCGTGCGCGCGTGGCGATTTTGAAATGTCAGCTGTACATACGGCCGAACCCACTACCGTAATTGGATACATCATCTTTAGGTTAGTGGGCTAAAATGAATGATTAGCATGTTACCAACACTTACGACTGGTCCATCAGATTCGGTTTCCACAACATCATGAATGCTCTTTCTGTCCTTTCTGACAGGTATGTTGGAACCCCTCAATATTTGCACCATAAGCCTACAGCCCTCCGGCTGCAGCCCATTCGTCAGTGCCTCCCTTCTATCCTCCCGATACGGGCGGAGTGGTCTCCGTGGTCTGAACCACTCGGTGAGAAAAAATCCTTTTTGTGGTCGGTCTGCGAGTTTCTCTTCACGGACATAATCACTATGCCGCTTAGGCTGTGGATGAATCGTACTGCGAAGCAGTTGGTGGCTACGTAGACGCTGGAGAAACGTTGTCTCGGGAGTTGATAGATCAGACTGAGCTGTAGGCGCAGAATTCAGAAGGGAGAGCGTAGAAGAATGTCGTGACAGCATTGGATATAGTTGGGGCTTCTCAAGCGAAACCATTTAGGTTTGTGCTGATTGTGCGAAGTGAATATGCTGGCGTTGTACTTACTGTTTTATCTGAATCTAGCATTTCCTGCATCATACCCTCATCGATCTCCTCATCCAATAGCGGTATAGGGCTCAGATGTTCAGCTGTAATATGACCTCTTTTCGTCTCCCTATCTTTGATTAAAGTAAACCTCTTCTCATTGAGTTCATTATCGACCTGAAAATTCATGAAATGAGCATGGTATGAGCAATACCGAGAAGTGGTGCGTGATATATACCGCAACATCTAACGCCATGGCTCGGATCCATGCCGGAATTTCAAGACGGCAAAACTTTTTTGATGACCAGTACTCCATTGCGGAGGTACCCTCTGAGCTCGACGATGCCTCTGCCAATCTTTTCAAGCGAAGCGTGTCTTGTGAGCGGGGATCATTCGGATCAACAGGCAGAGATTGAACCCAGTCCTTAATAAATATATGGAATAGTATGAGAGAACTCGTCGTTACAGGATTCATAGGCCACTCTCACCATTAATTTGCGCATGTTGATGGCACCATTGGGTCCCATCATTGCAGCTAAATGATTAGGTTCTCGGACATTACGACGGGCATCAAGGTCGTTGCTATGTACATTCACGACAAGAATGATGTGAGTTACTTATCGTTCAATGCTTGCAGCTCCTTGGTTCTTTGGAAAACGTACGATTGGATAAGAGGTCCCAAGGATTTGCCCCCGTCATCCACCCCCCAGGCACATCCAAGTGTTACCACTCCCGAAAGCCACCTTTCATCTCCTCTGCCAACCGTTGCGTCATAACTAGATTTGCCCGTAAAATGCAATGCATGCGGTGTCCGGTCAATGGCGTTGGTAGTTTCGGTAGCAGAGGGAATAGGGATAGGAATTCGGCAAAGGAGAGTTTCGCCAAAGGCTGTCTGAACCAAGGGATGTTATAGGCTATCCATTGGGCGTCGTTTTACAAAACAGGGCAGAATACCTTTTCGTAGACTTCAGCCTCAAGGCATTCAGGAACTTCTTTGACCCGAGCACCAACCCTGATCGCTGTCTTCCGTCCTAACGTCCCTAATGCTTTTGAGCTTGCGACTATGTTAGACCCACGTTGATCGATGTTGTTGAATTGAACACTGAACGTGGACATGTCAAGGGTGTGTGCCGTCGTTCGGGTCATTTCTTTGCGATTATAGAGCAAGCGCAAACAGAAGGTAGGAGGGGTGGTTTGACGACGGTTTTGTTCGAACTGTACGGAATGGAGTGAGTAGATTTTACTTCAGCCACGCCGCTTCATTTGGGGTTTACCTTGGGGCATTCAGCTATGGGAGTGATGACACTCGTGTGGTTGCAGGCAAACGACAAAATGGGAAAGCCGGGTTGTCGATGGCTTGATTCCAGCCTCTGAATAAGAGTGTCAGGCTACTATAACGACCATCTGATTAACATAAGCATAATATGACATACCTTGCTGATTTGCGATTTAAGCCGTTTTGCATTGAATCCGCCCATCTTCGTCTGGCCAGTCTGAAGGGCTGGATCTGATCGCTTCTTTCTGTCCTTACGAAGCTTCCCTTGACTGCCATGTGTACTTGCGTTGTCCGTATCTTGTTCGGCGCCAAGCTGATCTTTCGTGTCCTGTCGCTCCAATCCGGATTCTTCTTCGGTTACGCTAGTAGTATCAAGCTTTTCGAGCTCGTGCATATCTGACAGTTCCGATAGCTCGTTCGCAATTTCAACCCTAAGCGCCTTTGTATCCTTTCACATTTTGGCGGTTAGCCACGGATGATTGAATCTTGAAAAATAAAGATTTACCTCATCTTCAATAGTTTCACTGCTCCGCACAATCACTTTGAGAGAGGTAGACGCGAATCCTTCTGTTTCGCGTATCTGCTTCAACTGAGACCATCCTTGCAGAATCTTAAACTCCAGTAACCGATCGGTTTGAGCTTCAGCATCCTGAGAATAAGCATTAATGACATGCAGTCTTTCAATGAACAGGGCGCCCGACGCTCAATACCCGTAATAATCTTGTCTCACGGATTTCTTCCAACATCGCCTTCCTTCGGTTGATATTCTTCTGTTTGGCTTCCTTCTGCACTTGCTTCGGATCGTGATACCTAGAATAACGGGCGGGACGTTCTGGAAAGATATCATTTGCTGGTTCTGTTGCGTCGGCTGCGGGTGAATCAGGCAGAGGTTGCGATTGTTTATACTCGTTGTACGCATCGCGCAGCGCCTTTATGGCAAAGAGATTAGTACGCGATGCCTCATGGGCTCAGGACTTGAATATAAGCATACCATTAGCCGCTGATCCAGGAAATGTACTACCCCTTTTTTCTTCCTCTGACCCAAAGTGGTCACCCATTCCTCTATGTTTCTCGCCAATTTCATCTCCTCTGTCATCAGCGGATGATCGACCATTGCCATACCGTACAGGTCGACGGCAAGCAGATAGGTCCCACTTGGAGAATCTGTTATTAGCGTGTAGGGCGAGGGGGCGGCAATTGGAAGGCGGATAAGTGCCAGATCGTCGTGTGGGGAATCTGCTAGCGAAAGTTCTGGGTCTGAAGATGGATGGGTGCGGGTATCCTGCCATAAAAGCGTTGGCAATTCACGAAATGGGCGTTGTGGCTCGGTTGAAATTGGGATTGGAATAGTGTTAAGGCGAAGGGAGGAGCCGAACCACTGTATTCCGCTGATAGAAAGCAAAGTGAATGAGCGGCGCGGACATGTGCTATGTGGTAAAATGTAGCTTTTGCTCACTCTTCTGGCTCGCTCCATCGTAGACGCTTCTCCAATTTTTGTAAATTCCAGAAAGCGACAGGTGGTAAGTCCCCGACATAGAAGCCATCGTCCTCCGGAGTCGCCGGCATGGTCTTGAAACACCGTCAGAGTCGAACGTTAACAACAAATAATTGTGTGTTTACCTCGTACAAAGTTCTCCATGTTGCCAAAGTAGACGGACAAACGTTCTCTGGGCAAAACAAGATTTTGGCGACCTGGACAAGATACCGTCATTTGGGGCATGAACTGCCACGCTAGACGTTACTTCCGATCGAACGTACCTGCTCCAAGTAGGTCTTCCCTATGTTCTCCCATGGCTGCTTGACTACGTGTGATCCTAGCATTTGCAGCTCTGCTTTTTCTTTTAACTCGTTGAATGCTTATAATAGATGAATTTAGAATGACTGATGCTGTTAATGACAGATGAGAAACCGGGTTCCAGCGCAGACTATGTACCTTTTTCCGCCCATTTACCCTCTTCGTCCATGTCAATCTCTTCATCATCCGGCGCCTTACTTTCTACCTTCTTTTTTGGCTTGCTTCGTTTCTTTTTCTTTTGCCCGCTTTGGTCAGGTTCGCTGGCATGGCCGGTTGTCGTCGATAACTCGACATTTGCATCGTAATCTTCTTGCAGGGGCTCTTGGTAAAGTCTCGAATGAAGGATGTTTGGAGAACTTTTTTGAAACTGCAGCAACAAAATATTTACAGCGATCGTCGTCTCCTCATATCTCAGCTGAAATTAAACTATACCTTTGCCCCTCCCAATCTCTCCCTACGTCTTCCTCCACTCTGTTCACCATCAGTCAAAGATAATGTTGATGCCCCCCTAACCAGGAGCTGACTTTGAGCATGTCTTAGACGAGACCGATTTCTCGGGACATTGGTCGGCAACGACATTATTGGACAACTGGACGTTGATATCAAACACTTAGGCAAACTGACACCTATGCATCGCCAACTGCACCAGCTTTGTTGACTGCTTGAAACTTGTCGAATGAGTCATACGTCAGATCGGAATATAATCAAATGCTTCTTGTGAGTTTGCCCAAGGTGGGCCTGCTGGACGATAGCCTGGGGAGATCGGAGACGCGCTGAGTAAGCTCCAGCAACAGCAACGAGGCCGATTTTTAACTTTTGGCACAAACTTACTGGCACTTTTTCTGCAGATACTTGTTATCATTATCAAGACATGAATGAAAGAGCCACATCGTGTGCCCATGTCGAGTCCTCTGAGAACAATAAATGTTGAATGTTGGTCGATTTGCCTCGATTTATCGGAAAACGACAATTGATTCCACATGTAAGCGTGCATGTAGGTATGGTATGCTGGGAAAGCAACAGGAGGTTGTATGAGTTTGCTAACTGCTTTTGCCTGAGTGAGATGATAATTTTGTCTTTGCAATTTGTAAATGTCCATGTCCAAAACAGCCAAGCCGCCCACGTCAGGAACGCGCGCCGAGGGTGTTTTTGTCAGTTACTCTACCCGTCCATCATCTACAAAGGAGGGTCCACAGACATGGGAAAGCCCCTTTACCCGCCGGTACCAGCAAAGGACAATGGCGCACCTCTGCGTCCGTACATGCTCGACCAGGAGTCTGCTTCAAGTGATGACAGCGACTTTTACCAGGTATCGGCATCTGAGGCCAATGCAACCGAGACGTCAAAACCGGAGGCATCCAGCGAAGACTCTGGAAAGAGCTCAATCGATAGCTCCTCCTCTGTAACCAGTGCAGGTCAAGCGGTCACAGGCGTGTGGGATCATGTATACGCTCTCCTAGCCCTTGGCGCCCTGATTGCTGTCTGCATAGCAGCCGCGGCAGCCCCACACTTGTCGAGCGTTTCCATATCAGACGCTTTCTTTGCCAAGATTTGGTCTTTTATGAGTCCCCATGTTGATGCTCATGTGAAGGACATCAAGGAAAGTTTAAATTTGTCGACTGCTTGGGGCAACGTTCTGGAAGTAGGACCGGGCACAGGTGCCAACCTTGGCTACTACTCCAGCAAGGCGGTCACATCGCTAACCTTGCTTGAGCCTAACACCGCCATGCACGCTGAGCTGCTGCATACTGCATCCATGGCAGGATGGAACCCTGATATGTTCACACTACGCCTGTCGGCGAACACGATTGAATCTGCGTCTTTTCAACCGGCCTCATTTGACTTTATTGTGTCTACCTTTGTTCTCTGTTCTGTTGATGACTTACCCGCTGCAGTAGAAAGGCTGTACGATTGGCTGAAACCAGGGGGCACATTTGTGTTTTTGGAGCACATTGGGGATGAGAAGGGGAAATGGGCGCGGTGGGGACAGGATATGATGTCTTTGTTTCTCTGGCCGGCAGTGGCGGGGGGATGTCGATTGAATCACGATACCGTGACTGTCATTCAAAATCTCGATTGGAAAGTCGACATTTCAGGAAAAGGTCGAATGGCGGTCGGAGCCCTGCCTATCGTATGGGGAAGAGCAACAAAGAAGAAGGGATGGTTTGGGTCTATCTGGCAGTGATCGCAAGTGGCGTATGTATACTGTGCAGAGTGTAAAGCTTGGTTTATAGGGGCATTCCTGAAAGCTTAATGTAAATATAGTTGCATGTAGGTCATTTCCTGTAATGTAGTAACAAGGCATTTTTTGCGCAAAAGTTCCTTTTCATGCTGTGGATCGACAAGTGTATTCTGGGGAGAAAACAAAAAGTCTAGCTGCATTGGCGCGAAAATCCATCATCGTTCTTTGGACATTCAAAAACTCACGGAACGTGGATGAAAGCATGTTACATCTTGGGCACTAAAAAGTACTGAGGGTCCTGCAGGTCTTGCAACGCCAGACAATACCTTGGACTTCAACGGCAGCTGAAGCAAGTTACAAGCGGTAGCTCTGCGCTCTGCACTTCCTCTTGTACATTTCAATACCTGTGTGGTTAGACGGGCAGCATCCGCTCGTCCGGGCGCTGAAGGGAAAGTCGTTGGAGTCGCTTGCTGACGTAAAGCATATGGTCATGTGACTAATACTAAGGTTAAAACACCAAGCTAAGCCTCCAAAACCATTAAGCCTAAAAAGGTAAATGAATCCACAAATTTGAAGCCGTTAAGTTCAAGGCCGTCGGCTCTTCTCTTGGCGAGCAAATTGAAGGTTTTTTTCAAGCGTTTGTTCAAGATTTGAAGGGCAATCGACCCGCAAGGAATCTCATAGTGGATGGAACATGGCGAGGTGAGTTGCGCTGGAAGGGATGGTGGCCACGACTTGAGGGACCTTGAACGTCTTTTGTTTGGCAGACCACACTCGCAATACGCATTTGACGACTATGACATACAAGACAACCTCGACGAATATATGGAAGGTTATGACCATGACACATATGGCGAGACACCCGTCAGTGCCTCCCGCCGTATAAGTCCGACTACCAGAATGGCCTTGGGTCCTTTGCAACTAAATCCTCATGAAGACGGAACACCAAGCTACAATGCGGCAACTCAGTCCTTGTTGGACCAAGCCGACGGCGCCATGGCGTCGTTGATGCACCTCTCCCGTGATACCGACAACTGGAAACCTGTTCTAACACATAAGAATGGTGGGGCGGTAGTGTATCGTACAGCAAAGCACGCAAGAGGGCAGATCCCTGTTTTCAAAGGTGTTGCTATACTGCACGGCTTTGCCCCAGAAGCCATTTTTGCCTTGGTGAGAAACAGGCAGTTGTGTAAGTGGCCTCATTCTTCTCCTGGTGCATTCTGAGAACTGACGCAGCAACTTGTAACAAAGGGGATGACTGGTATTTGGAGGGACACATTGTCGAGCACATCAATGAAAGCACCTCTCTCAGCTACATGGTAATGAAGCCCCAAAACGCCTTATCACAGGCAGTAGCAAGGTAAAATCTCTGCAGAATTCATCCCTCCATACATGTTGCGAGTACACTAATGCTCGTACTACCGTCAAACACTAGTCAAAGAGACTTGGCTCTTATTGATCGAAAGGACTTTGATCCGGCCACCGGGGCCATTGCTTACGCTAGTACATCGGTGGAAACAACCAAAGTGCCAAAACATCCTGGCCGTGTTCGTGCTTTACTGAAACTGAATGGATGGCTTTTGGAACCTCATATTGCATCAGATGGAGTAACCATCAGCACCAAAGTCAGCTACTACATCCAAACTGATGTTGGAGGGCTGTTGCCCAACTCGGTAGTTAAGCGCTACCTTGCCCGTCGTGCGCTGGTCGTCGTGGGTGTGGAACAGTACCTTCGAAAGAATGGCCCTCCCCCTGTTCCAGAATCAGAGGTTGTAGCGGTCAGAAGAGCGCGCACAATGAGCATTCTCAGTACTTCGTCAGATGGAGAGAATACACCGTACCAGTTTCCCCCACCTCCTGAACGTTCCTCTTCTTTCCACGGGTCGCGACTTATGCGCGGGTAAGCTGGTTTATTTACGTTTCCTTTCTTTCTAATGTCAATCACCGCTAAACGTGTGCTGCAGAGGCGCAGGGCCTGAGCAACCACCTTCTCGAATGTCATACCAGGGACATAACATGACGGAAGGAAGAAAGATGCCTTCACACGTGGCTCCTAGCTATGACCGCCAGTCCCGTCAGCATGGGAATCCTCCTCCACCCCGCTCTGTTGTCAACACCGTAGAGGAATCTGTGCAAGATGATGACGATGATGAGGTATGGTCGACTTACTGGATTGCAGGTTGGGATGTGCGAGCACCAAGATTTTGGTTAACCGCGACATTGGCGTGTTTAGGTCATTGTGTATGATGAACATGAAGTCCCAGAGGAAACAGATGATTACGACGAGGTAGATGACGTGGAACTCGAGGAGGAGGACGAACAAGAAGGAGCCGAGGCGACATCGCCCGCACCTGTAGAGATTGATGATGGTGGTCCGTCAACTAATCCTCATAACGAAGCTGCCCTGCTATCTCTGCGTCTTCTACAAAGCCTTGAACCAGAAGACGCTGGGTGGGAGTTTCATTCACAAACAAGTGGAGTGCGTATCTCTCAAAGAGCAGTCGCTGGAGCTCAAATGCCTATGGTGCGTGGAGATGCGATTATTCAAGGCCCCTGGACCGCACAGGAGATCTTGAGTGTCGTCAAAAGCGCGACTGCCAGACGCTCATGTGAGTATCATGCATGTCAAGTGTATCTCTACTGACCAGAGTTGCTAATATCGCGATTTACAGGGGACGCACGTTTTGAAGACGGACGCGCACTGGTTAACTACAACTTGGATGAGGCATTAACCTATAGTCAGCAGAAGGGAACGTTCCCTGTCTCTGGTCGGGACTTTGTTACCACTAATATGACACACTTTGATCCCAAAACGGGTGCCGTTTATTACACTGCTACCAGTGTAGTTGACCAGTCCGCCCCAAGCGATCCCAAGCGGGTTCGTGCCCATCTCACAGTTGCTGGGTGGATCCTTAAACCCGTAAATGGGGGGATCTCTGTGAGCTACATTGTACAAGTGGATGTTAAAGGATCTATTCCTAGCTGTAAGTGACCTTGAGCCATTCAATAGGCCCTTGGCTTAACGTCAAATTGCTTACTCCCGTTCCTCTCCAGCGATTATCAAAGTAATCCAGACTCAAACACCTCTCTGCATTGCAGAAGTGTTCAAATACATTGAACACAAGGGGTTCATCCCTTTTATTATCCGCAGAGTTCCCGGAGTGGACCCTGGCCGCGGACTGGGACTCCGCAGTGAAAGTTTTGAAGCGAAAGGCAGTGTTTATGGCTTGGAATACAGGACGACAGAGGCTCATGGGAAAATCTTGGCTGTTGCCTTACCTAGGTCAGCTTATTCTGATGGTGCTGATGTGCAGGTCACACCTACCGATGGCAGCGTTAAAGTATATAGGGTGCCCGACGATGCGATGGGAAGATTAAAGGATGCGGCGAGCGCAGACAATTCGATTGTCCTCAATGTTATCGTTGAGAAGGAGGCGGACCTGGACGTGAAATTCCGGGTTTCGCCTAGCAATCGCGGTTACATGTGTAACGGTAAAATAATTGAGACCGCCCCGGCGAAACCTGTCATTGCTGCACATCCGAAACCCGTAGCCGAGCCTGTACCAGTTAGGGAAGCCGATACTACCCGGCCTCCTGCTGCGAAAGCCACCTCTGAAGTAAACACGAAGTCCGTTCCCCCCACGAAGACAGAAGGGTCACCGAGCTCAAGCTCAAATACGCCACCGCCCGCAGCTCGACCTACATACATTCCGCACCGGCATACTGAATCCGGCGTCAAAGCGTTGAAGTACTTGAAGCAACTCATGCAAGATGAAGACGCATGGAAGCTCCACTCAGAACAACAGGGCGTAAAGATTTCCACCATCGAAGACGGATCACCGATGCCTGTTGTTCGTGGTGATTCCGTGTTCCCACCAGAGTTCACAGTGGATGAAATTGTCAATGTACTCAGATCATCTGGGGCGCGCAAGATTTGTGAGTATGCAATGCAAGGATGTGTTATACAGACATCGCCGTTAACGCAATTTCCTTTTCAGGGGATGCTCGGTTTGAAGATGGTGATACAGTGGAATGGTTGAACCCGAACGAGCAGGTATTCCGGTCACTCCAAAAGGGACAGTTCCCCGTTAGTGGCCGGGATATTTGCGGTCTGCAGGTTACCGTTTTCGACGCCAGATCATCCACCACCTACATTGTTGCGACAAGTGTGAATGACCCACTTGTTCCGGTTGACCCCAAGCGCGTCCGCGCTGATTTGAAGGTCGCTGGATGGATTTTACAGCCAGTACCGAACGGAGGCGGTGTTAGTATCACTTACATTGTGAACATCGATCCGAAAGGGTCAATTCCAAGCGCCATTGTAAAGGCTGTTTCAGCACAGACTCCGTTATGCGTTGCAGAAGTCCTCAAGTACCTGCGTACGTACGGATCTCCTGTTGCCGGCAAAGTGTTGGGTAACACTGGCGAGGGTATCAAAATTGTAGTCACCAAAGATAAATTCGACCACAAAACATCGACATTGGAGTTTGAGTACACAGCAAATGCAACTCAAGACGGCGATGGAACTCCCGGAACTGGACTTGCTGGGCTCGTCGAATTCCAGATTGACCCGAAAATGTATCCTTCAGGTGTTGATCTGGAAATTCCGGCCAAAACAGTGCAAGATTACTTGATAGTAAAATCGAGTCCAGACGGTCGATTCTTGAGATTGTACATGCGCTTTGACGCTGTAAAGGAGAATGGCTCTGGCAAGATTCAAGTGAAAGTTATCAAGAAGAAGAAGGGAACCGGCAGCAAGGACTTTTCAGTCAATGGGGTGCCTGGCAGTGTCGTGAACGACAAATCTAATAAGGTCATGATCCCGGTCAGAAAGGCTACAACTGCACCTGGGGCAAGTAAGCCCGCCACGGCGACTGGTAAGTGACCCTCGTTATACATTTTTCTTGCAGATACGTTAAACCTGACATTATCACGTAGCTGCCACGCGTCCGCCTCGTCAGGCCCCAGCTGGCGTACCCTCTGAGCCACTCCCCACATCCGAAGCAGTGCCCAAGGTTCCCGTTAAGCGGAGGCCGCCTCCTGCGACCGAGACTGCAGTGCAAGCGCAGCCAAGTACGGTTCCAGCGCCATCAATGTCAACAAGAAGTTTGACCCGGACAAATGAGAACCGTCTCTTCACATATCTGCTTGCACTCCTTTCCATGGCACTCCGTCTACTTCGTCCCTTCCTCGCACCCAACGGACCGGAGCTTCCTGATAGCGTTGATCCCCTCGACATCCGTGCACTGGTCGCGGACGCTGAACGTCTCCGCCTCGTTGGAGTGTCAGCTGTGTCCTTGTTGTTCTTCGGACTGGTTTTGAGGTGGTTCCTAGGTGCTGTATTCGGTGTCGTTGGTGGTGTGTTTAGCATGTTTAGCTTGGGACAATGGGTCTTATTGACTGCTCTGGGAGTTGGCGCATTTTGGATGGGTAAAGGACGACGTTGAGATGACAATCAAATAGAACTAATGTAGGGTTAGGTTTACTTCATAGACACATCTCATAGGTATATAATTCTTCGTTTAGAGATAGTTGTCATGTTTCATACATAAGATAATAAGGGTTCTTGGGATGGCCGATCCTTATTTCCATTCCTCGGGTATTTTTCTGATTAATTATATGCTAAGGTTTTGTATCTCACGGCTCATTTTGAAAGACTCAAACATGGACGGAGAATTCCCTGAAGGGTTTCCAGCGGAAAGATGGAATAACATTCTCCTGTATGCCCATCAACGAATATTGGAGGCAGGCGGGATGGATGCCGTCCTGCCTGCCTGCAATGGTAGCAAGGAACAAGAAGAAGGTTCTGTTGAGGAGAGTGCGGGATTCGAGAGGTTGGTCCGCCATGTCAAAAAAATGGCGGCTGCTGATATTGGTAGCACCATCCCAAAACCTCCCCAACTTCAAAATGACCGGAATGTGGCAGCGAGGTTGAAATCTGTTCGTATGTATTTCAATTAATACTCCCACTGGTCGCCCTGCATCATTGCTCTAAAATATTTCCCCAGAAACATACCTGAACCGTCTAGAATACAATCACCTCGGTACACCATTCTTTGTCATTCGCAAATCCGCCTCCGTCCGCTCTCTGATGCGAACTGCCCAAGAGATTGTGCGGTATGGTCTACCGATAAAATGCCTAGAAGCAGCTGTGGTTGGGATGTTGTTGACGGCGGGGATAGATGGTATCGATCGGATTACGTGTAGTTTTAAATCTCAGGTCGGGTCTGAAGTATATCGACATATCGTTTTGTTGATTCGACATGGGGATCGCTGGGGTGCCCTCGGGCTGTCGAGAAGAAGAGATTTAATGGATAAACCTTTAACTTTTCAGGTAAAAGATTTTCTGGAAAACGATTGGATTATGAGAAGAGGAGTGTGATTGCTGACAGTCATTTGTTGCAGTCTCTGCCAGAAATTCTGATGGAATATCGAACGGCATATGAGAGAAGTATGTTTGAAGAATTGAATGTATGGTATAGGCATGTTATAAACAATGAATATGCTTTGCAGACCAGCACTGTCTCATAAAGGCAAAACTTGGTAAGGCCATTGGAGTTTCTCGTAGCTGCGAAATATTAGTAACTCGGATTTGCAGGTCTCCCTGTCCCCCATGATACCTCCAGTAATGAGCGGATCGCCTGGAAGGTGTGTTGCAATTTGTGACGATCACCTATGCTGGCTACTTTTATCTGAACGCTTGAATTCGTTGCTCTCATTTCCAAGTATCTTTCCTTGCGCTTTCCAACAAGTTCGTACCATTCGTTTACTCCCCAAGCGACACACTCTATGGATCGCTTTATCCGCGGTATTCGCGGAGGGTAGGTGGCCGGAGTTTCCCCCTAACCAACGGAAAAGCTGATCTGATGCGTGTTTCCGCCAGATTTAAGCCCATTTTGGTAGATGTATGAACAGACGAATTCTGGTAATTCAATTAACAAGTAGGCTTAGAGCTATAGAATGATTACGCTAGTGTAAACTAGAAAGTATCGAGATATAATGCCGTTTGCCATCGCATGGCGGAGAAGGCACTACCATTCAAATAGAGTCGGTGGACACAGTAGTATCCACTAGTATCGATTAACAAATCATATAGCCGTCTTATTCCCACCTCATAAATATCTTTCATGTGTGCAAAGGGCACCTCAGCCAAGATTTCAAGTCCCACAAATCCAAGACGTTCCTGCACTCCATTCGATATGCAACGTTATCCACTGGTACTATCTGCTATCTGCTATATACAATAATAGTAGGTCAACGCCGCACATCCCGGATAAGATGGCTCACCGCAGCTTGGTAGAATTCCTCATTGATGTCGACTAATGCCTTGTTATGATCCGCCAAGCGCTCAACCTCCCCGCGTAATCTAGACATCTCCGCCTCTATGCTGTTGCCGCCATTCGACAGTTCCATTTGACGAACCCGTTCTTCCACAGATCTAGTAAATGCGTGTTCTAGAGCCCCGTGTTTAGTGCAAATTCTTGAATAAGACTCCTCATTTAGCAATTTACCTGCTGTCAACGTTTCTTTTTGGAAGACTTCCAGCGGCTATCAAACAGATTCGTAAAATGATTGAGTCCTTGGTGGATCAAGTGAATCGCCGCAAGAAACTGCGCTTACATCGTCCACAATGCCACTACACGCTGGCAATGTCCATTCCTCGCGATCTCTATCCAGTGTGTCCACATCCTCCGCAATCTCATGACGCTTCCAAGGTCTCAAAGCAGGCAAATAATCATTTGATACCCCGGGATCCATCAAATGTGGTGGTCTGAGCAGAATCTTAACGTCCGTCACAGGTGCTAGAGCGAGGTTAGAGCCTAGTCAATTCCGGTGTTGGGGTGGCCCCTTACCCTTATGATTCGAAAGAGTGCGCAAACACTGACGACTAGTAGTATCCCAGACGATCGCTGTGCAATCCTCGGATCCTGACAATAAGAGAGATCCATCAAGCGACAAAGCTAGGCTGGTAACGTTTTGACTAAGAACTGGAATAAGCATGGGTGCAAAACTATATTAAAGCTACCTTTCTCACCTGTGACCCAGTAGGGTACCGCCATCTGCATCTGCATCCTCCACTGCACCTTTCCGCAACCCCACCGTATCACCATCAGCGTTTCGGCTGTACAAATTGGTCTGATATATTGTCCCTTCGGTCGCTCCTGCATATAACCTTGTCTCAGTCACGTCCACTACCAGGCTGCTTATCGCTTTTGGAAAGACGATGGTTGCTAGCAGCTCTCCCGAAGCTCCCTCCCATATCTGACATTGATTAGCTAACCGGGTCAGTATGAGTATAGATTGCATCAAACACCTTGAGTGGTACAAACCTTGCACGTTCTATCTATTGATGTTGTGAATATTCTCGAATTCGCAAAGAGTCCAACCCCAAAGACGATGTCGGAAATTGGCAATGCATGACCAGAAAGAGAACGGTGGGGACTTGAAACTGACTCGCTATTTGGATCTAACACGCTGCGTGACGGATCATGTTAAACGTGCCGATCATCCGTTACGTAGGATGCAGTGATTCCCACCGTGAAAGAAGCCAGACATTTGCCACCGCATCTTCACCTCCTGTGATGAAAGCAACGTCGTCGCTTGAAAAGCGGACGACACGTACAGCCTTATAATGTGCATCGAACATTCGAACGAGGCGTCCACTATTGAGCTACATCACAGGCGTAAATTGAACAGCCAAAGATAAAGCCTAGGTCTGGTGAGGAATGCCCACCTGCCATACGTAGACTCTCCCGGAATAACCGCCGCCCACACAATACTCCCCTGAATGCGATACTGCCATGGAACACAGCTTTTCAGGCAGGACAAACTTTGTATGAAGCTGTCCCTAAAACGAAAAATTTGAGTACACCAAGCCCTTCAAAACAATTATGTGAAGCTACCTTTGCCCAGCTCCAAAGGTGAACAAGTGCCCTATCATTTTGTGCCGCCAAGAAGCTTGAGCTGAACAAAGTACCTCCCGCGGCAGACATTGGCAAAGTTGCGGTGGTTTTCGGATCTGACTTGTTCCCTTTCAAAGAGCCAAGTACCACCCCTGAACGTAGGTCACATATTTGAACGGCTGTGTCCGAGGACGAAGCCGTTACCGCTATCTCTGAAAGCATTTCCAAGGGCAATGGGTAAGGAAGAACTGTCGGACTTACAAAATCAGATTGGGTCAAGTAAGTACTTGTTGCTATGACAACAAATGAGTCACGTGACAGCACATTACCCAAAGGTGGTTGCGTTTGTGTCGTCTGCTGGTGCTGGAGATCAGGGTCCTTGTGTTCATCATCTGGGTTCTGGAGTGCGAGTATAGAATAAGAAGTTTGACGTAAGAGAATATAGGTGGAAGATAGGGGACTAGGACGTTCGTTGCTCTGGACAGTTTTCTGCACGCAACGGTGATCTTGTTTGGTGCGCTCGCGTTTGTTACATCGTAGAAAGAAAACACGCAAGCAACTTTGTTTGGTGAGTGCTGGCTTGTAGTTCACGCGAGAGCTGGGGATACCTTATTGATCAGGTTACTCCACCAGCCCAGATTAGCTATGAGTGACGTCGAGGAACCCAAATCGCCCGCAGTGCCTACATCGCCCAAATCACCCAAATCGCCCAAGTCGTCAGGTCCTACCTCTATATACACCCCAGGAACCGCAGTTTGGGCTAGATTGAAAGGATACCCCTGGTGGCCTGGTCGGGTAGGCATTTAATCTAACGTCGCATATTTGTTCAGCCCTCCATGTGCTAAATATGTTTAATGGTCGACAGATCGAACGAGAAGACGAGTTGCCCGAGGATGTACTTGCCCAGAAAAAATCCAAAACCATAGCAGTGTTCTTCTTTGGTTCGAGAAACTAGTAAGCATAATTGTAGCTATCTGGATTCATTCGCACACATTTGAACGGGCTCTTCAGTTCATGGTTAGCGCAAGATGCATTAAGACCATACAAGGAGCACAAGGAAGAATTTTGTAGCAAGAATAAAACTGCGGCATTCTTGAAAGCCGTTAGAGAGGCGGATGATCCGTCCATACTCGAAAGAGAAGCTGAGGAATTCGCTGCTAAGGCGGAGAGGAAGAGACAAAAGAAATTGGCTACCCCGAGCCGACGCCGGTCGAGTGTGAATGAGACGGGTACTGGCAAGAAAAAGTCTCGACCAGATGCAAATGGAGCGGACACGAAAAAGCGAAGAGTAAGCGAACCGGCGCCAGGCAAGAAAAGCAAGAAGCGTGCAATCGAAGAGTCCGATGAAGAGGAGAAAGAGGTGTGTTAGTTTGTGTGAGGCCATCTTGAATGAGAAGGTGAAGTAAACATCAAAGTAAAGCCCATAGCGGAAAGGAAGCGTCGTAAGCGCGAAGTTCAAGCCGCTGTTGATGACGACGAGGAGAACGAAGGCGCGCATGATACACAGAAGGAAGACGAATCTGGAAATGAATCGGAAGGTACTAAATCGAAAAAGGCCAAGAGAAATGACGAGGAAGGTCACAAATTGCTGAGTATGGCTTGCGAAGGCTTGCGAAATTTGTCATCAACAGGTGAAACCCAGAACTCACTGCTTCTCACATTTAGAGAAACTGTGGAGGATTCGGCTTAAGCTTCAAGGCTTTATCAAGGATGTCAAGGAACAGGGGGATAAACTTAAGGTACTAAAGCATCTCTCATTATGCTATCATAGCGCGATTTCAGCATCTGACCATATGCCCTCAGGCGGAACAATACGAGGAAGCCGAGGCCAAGCTGCGTGAACTGGAGAGTTTCCCACTTACAGTCGACCTATTAAAAGTGCGTTACTTCATGCTGCGAAGCTTGTTAATCACTACCACTAACGTGACTGGGTTGTGTCCAAAAAGGAAACCAAGGTCGGAAAATTGGTGAAACACATGAGCAGACTCCAGATTCCGAACGATAAGCACAACCTTGTACCGCGCTCGAATGACTTGATGGCAAAACTCAAATTGCAACTCCCTGAAGCGTCTGCTGCTGGTGATGAGAAAGAACCCAAGGAGCCCTCTCATAAGGAGGCCGATGCAGAAGGTGAAATCGCCGAGGCTCCTCAAAAAGCTGATGAGGAGATAGTTGACAAGGAGGAACACGACATGGACATTGATAATGGCGATCAGGTCTCGGAACAAGCTCAGGCTGACGATACGCCCTCCCAGAACGAGGACGACTCTAACGGCAAGGTCACAAGGAATGCGAATGGATCGGAGAAGCAGGAAACTGACGATCCTGAAACTGCAGCCATGGACAAAGAATAATTATGTTGCCATATTGGCGACTCATGGTCGCAGATAGCTTTGGCTTTTTGTATCTTTGATATTTTGGGCAAGAATTGACTGTTGGATGATACATAGTGCGTGGGAAAATACAAATGTCAATGTCATTACGTTGCAGTCAACTTGAATGAACCACATTTATTGTGACATTATCATCTCATCATGAAGATAAACAATGACGATGGTCGCGACCATGAATGATAGCAACGATTGCCGCTGCAGGCATCTGATGAGTCGAACAGTCTGCGATTGTATTCCGTTTTTTTCTATAAGGCCCCTCTTCTCCTTTATCCTTGACTCCCAGCAAGGAAGCATGCGAAGAATCTCCCTCTGGCTACGAGAACCTCACCTTCCTGACAGCAACAATGAGCAAGGATTGCCTTGCAATGCTACTATTAATATGCTGCTACGAGCGCAGGTATGCAATGTCCTTGTGCGGTTTCCCATGCTCACGATCCAGTCGAAAGTTTGGTTTACTAGTATCTGAATATCCTCCGACTAAATCGCTTCGAAACAAAGGCCCCGCTCGTAGTAGTAAGTTAGCTTCATGCGGGAGGTTGTCACTGGAGCCAAATGGTTCAATCCGCTTTTCACGTGACTAGCGGCTGCGCCATTATCGTAAGCAAGCGGAGAACTGTGCCAGGGAGATCAGCATCATAGCATTCAGCAAGTGAGGACCGATCTGCCCAACGAGTACAACGCATGAGACATTCTTTATCTTTTTTGCAAGGCTTTTCGTTGAGTGCATAGATCGGTGCACTATAGTTGGAGATGCAGGGGTCGTCGCCTCACCAGAGCGTTGGGAAACAGAAGGTTCGTCGTCCGGAGGTCGAGTCTAACAAGAGCTACATCTCACATGGTTCTCAGAGAGATCTTTTGCCCACTGGTACAAGAGGTAGATCATGGCAAACAGAATCTTCATACATCCCGAGGCAAGCCCTCGGCGACCCTCCATTGTCTACCTTCGAGCAAATAGAATCAACCTTTATCAAGACAATTAAGCCAGGTTCAACAAGTATAATGAGCAGCCCACTAGTTTCTTTTTGCTAAAAGGAACTACCTTGAAGACTCTATAGATTCAAGTTACCACCCGGCACGAACAAAACAACCAACGCAAAGACTCGCCGATGCTGCCCCCAAGAGTGAGATTGTGGCATCTCCCCAAGTAATAGCTCCAGAAAAACAACACTTGTCACCGGGGCTACGGCCAGATAAGGGCTCAAAGAAAGATAGAGAGTCATTCCGAACAGCTCTTGTGAATATCGTGATGTGAGGCCTAGGGACGAATTCCAACTGATAAAGGGGCCAATGCTAATAGGGAGCATCTTCGACTTTAGGCAAGCCGCGCCTGGTTCTCTTACACCAGTGCTTCCCCAAATCGATGTAGAGGTCAATGAAGATCTGCCATCTGCATCTTTGCAAGATAAAGATATGATGGTTAGTATCATGTCAAGGGTAGAGTATAATTGCGTAGTTATTGATTTTTTCAGATATTTTAGCAACGATATTATTACTATATTACGAACGGAATAGATACACATCACGTTGCGAAAATGGAAGACGAATGGCTTGCAAATGTTTTGAAGTTGCTCCCGCAATCTTTAAAAGTATGGCACCAAAATACGTTGCAGGCACTTTCTGGGGAAATGAGAGAAGATTACCACATGAGCGTGAAAAAGGCCATTGTAGATTTTGTTTTGAAGGTGCGGAATGAGAACATGAGAACTAAGATCCTCTGTCTGATGCTAACTGGTGCCGTTTAAATTCAACAGGATCCTCGACAAAAGGTTGAGTATGGTGGCCCAGAAAAGGCTGGAAATGAAAGCTTTGTTATGTAGGTAACTTGTGTGCTCTTTAGATTTAGGTATACTTGACCACTTATACTCCGCTGCCATTAAAAGGATCCGGCGTTCGACCCCAACGTGGCAGATGGCGTACGTTCAAGCCTATCAAAGCATACAATCTTCGCTTTTTATTATCAACCCCACGATAGCGGAGATACAGGATCTTTGGCACAACTTTGAGGACATTCGGCTATTTGACATGGATGCAGTCTTCAGCAAAGGAGGTGCATTTGAACTGCGCGCCTTCAAAACTACTCTAACGCAGCGTTTTGAGAAGGCGCACGAAAAGCTCATGACCAGGTACCGAACATCCTTGAGTTGTCCCGCTTTCTTCATGGGCTCACGCACTTGAAAATTAACAGCTGGTATCCGGCCATGTTGAATGTCTTCTATCAAGGCACCAAGCGCAATGAATGGTCCTCCATTCCAACAGAAAGAATGGAAACGTTCTTCCGAACCGTTTCATTTATTCTCGCAAATCAATTACGTCTCATTGTATCGCGATCGCTTGAAGACTTCGTTTCTCTTTTCGACACTGACAACCGTCCAGCTGGCAAGAGTTTCGAAAATTCTCAGCCGCTTTCTTTTGTCGTTCGCCTCGTTTTGGATGATACAAGGGTGGTTTTCGAGCCATCTGCGAAGGATATCTTGACGACTGTGGACAGCCTCCTGGATGCTCTACTTGTAGCGGCCGACAGAGTTCCGAAGATCGAGACGCAGCTTTTCTCCACCGGACAAGCCGTTACGAGTACACGGGCGGGAATCATGAACCTGAAGCCTGAACAATGTATCAAAGTGACATTTGCAGAGACTTTCCCGGTGGTAGTGGAAGAGGCACGGGAAAATCTCAAGAGTATTATCTCGAAGCGTTTACAGCTGCCGCAGGTCTATCTGCAGGAATTTGATAAGCACCGTGCATTGATAGGGAAAACTGCAGAGAAAGATGTCGCAGTATTCCTCACCACGGAGCCAACCTCGGATAAAATGATGGAGGTACGGTGGATTGTTCTGGCGTCTCACGAGCTCATCTCATCATTGAATTTTTTGCTGCATTTTAGGAAGTTAAGCGCTACCGTGAGCTTGCTTCGGCGAAGATCCACAGTGCATACCCCTTCATTGTGAACTTCCCATTAATCGAACTTCATTGCGAAGACTTCATCAATACCTTATCGGAGCGTGCAATTACCTTGAGCAACAATATCCTAGACCACCTAAATTCCATCTACCGCACCGACTGCAATCAGATCATTGCGTCTTTCGAGGCCATCTCCAAGAAAATGCTTACGCCACCCAGTAACGTAGAAGAAATGGTTGCACTTCAGAAGTTTATTGACGAAACAAGAACGGTTACAATGCGCTCCCTTGAGGAATTGGTGGACGGAGCCAAGCGGAGGTATTTAAATGGGATCAAGAGCATTTGTCAACCATCCATAATAATGTGCGGCATCCTCTTTAGATTGAACTTCATGTTGATTTATTCTAATTTAAATGCCGAGGATTACGAACTCAATACTGGCTTATTCACTTGGCCACAGAAAATGCAACCGACATTTGTTGAAGGAGAAAACATTCTCATGCGATCACGGTCCACTAATCAAGACGAGCTCAAAGCCCGCAGGGAAAAGTTGCTTGCCGAGCTCGACGGATACGCCAAGCAGATTGAAGAGTATCATACATTTGGCAACTATGAGGAGCTTTCAAAGTATCTCAAAGCTGCCCAGAAACTGCAAGCGCGTTTGGATTCGATTGCAGAACGAATTGTTGCCTTTAATCGCGAGGAGGAACTTTTTGGTTGGGAAAGCACAAAGTTCAATGCTCTAAACACCGCGTTGGACGCATTGGCACCATTCCTTACACTGTATCAAACATCAGTCGATTTCCAGCGATGCTACCACAGTTGGATGACAGGGCCGTTCCTAAAACTAGATCCAGAAGTTGTGGATGCCGAAGTGACGAACATGCGCAGAAATATTTTCAAGCTTTCTTTGTCTTTTGAGAACAACCCAGCGCCCTCAGAAATCGCAGAGATCACCAAGGAGCAGATTGAGAGGTTCCAAGTGTCATTGCCCTTAATCAGCACCCTCTGCAATCCTGGTCTGAGAGAACGCCATTGGAAAGAGATCAGCCAGGTTGTTGGATTCAGATTCCAGCCTGATGAGACAACAAGCTTGTCGGGAGGTACTGCATTGCCATATAAAGCGTCAGATTTTTGTTTGATTTCTGATTACTGATTTTGGTCACGACCATTAGTCCTTGAGCGAAATTTGAGCGAACACATGGACCGACTGGAACAGATCAGCTCAGTGGCAACCAAAGAGTATTCCTTCGAAAAAGCTCTCCAGAAGATGTATGCCGAATGGCAGGCCATGGAGTTTGGCACTGTAGAATATCGCGACACCGGAACCCATATTTTGTCATCCGTGGATGAGATACAGTCATTGTTCGATGATCACATTGTCAAAACGCAAACCATGCGTAGTTCTCCATTCATTAAGGCATTTGATGAAGAAACCAGGGCTTGGGAGGAAAGGCTTCTTACAATGCAGGTATGCTATCAAAACGGCCCGAATCTAAATTTGGCGAATGGAGCTGAAGGTCACATCGTAATGTAGGAAATTGTCGATGAGTGGCTGAAGGTACAGGCAACTTGGCTGTATCTGGAACCAATTTTCAGTTCGGAAGACATCATGAGGCAAATGCCTACAGAAGGCAAACGGTTTGTCTCTGTCAATAAGACTTGGAAAGACATTATGGCTTTCTGCGTTGTGGATCAGCATGTGCTTCGCGTGTGTGCGATGCCGGATCTCCTCCACAAGGTTCGGCGAGGTACTTTGTTTGTTTCCTTTTCATTGAAAGCTAATGGGTCAATTGTTCTGATGCTGAAGCTTACGGATAGTAACAATGAGCTGGAGCTAATCCAAAAAGGCTTAAACCAATATCTTGAGGTTAAGCGACTCTTCTTTCCTCGGTTCTTTTTCTTGTCGAACGATGAGATGCTCGAAATTCTCTCCGAGACTCGTGATCCAAAGAGAGTTCAACCCCACCTCAAAAAATGTTTTGAAGGAATCAACAGTCTTGAATTCGACGAAGATGTCGAAATTCTTGGCATGTACAGCAGCCAGAAAGAGTACATCAAATTCAGCCATCCCATATCTACGGCTGCAGCCGCTGGTGCAGTTGAGCGCTGGTTGTTGGATGTGGAGAGAGCGATGCTGGCAAGCATGCGCACTGTAACGGCGGCAGCATATGAAGACTACAAAGAGACACCTCGTGAAGAGTGGGTGTTGAAATGGCCTGGGCAGGTTGTACTTGGTGTCAGTCAGATTTTCTGGACGAGGGAGGTAGAGTTTGCTATTTTAGAGGGCAGACAAAATGGCCTGGCAAAATACGTTGATCAGAGTACCGAGAGACTTTCAAAAGTTGTTGAGCTGGTCCGAGGGAATCTCTCCCGACTTGCTCGAACGACGCTGGAAGCACTCGTCGTGGTGAGTTCGCAATGATGCAGAAATGCTTCCGACCTGTGCACGCACATTAATAAGCTTGCCTCGCTTGGCAGATTGATGTTCATGCTCGCGACGTTGTAAGCAAGCTGGATGAAGATAAGGTCAGCAGTACCACGGACTTTGGATGGCTGAGTCAATTGCGATACTATCTACCTGATAAAGACACTGGGGTATTGGTGAAGATGATTAATTCTGTTCAAAAGTAAGTCGAACGTTATTGAGCTGCTTTCTAGCTACAATTGACATATTCCCATGTCAATACAGGTACGGTTACGAGTACTTGGGAAACACTGGAAGACTGGTCATTACTCCGTTGACGGTATGATTGTGCTGCAACGTAGATCTCTCTGGCCGGAAGTATAATACTTTTCTTTCGTAAAGGACCGGTGTTATCGGACGCTTTTTGGAGCGTTACAGCTCAATTTGGGGGGCGCACCAGAGGGTCCGGCTGGAACGGGAAAGACCGAAACGGTCAAGGATCTTGCAAAGGCTTTGGCAATGTTCTGTGTTGTTTACAACTGCTCTGACGGTCTCGATTACATTGCAATGGGCAAATTCTTCAAGGGCCTTGCTTCGGCAGGTGCTTGGGCATGCTTTGACGAATTCAATCGAATAGATTTGGAGGTCTTGTCAGTCGTGGCTCAACAGATTCTCACGATTCAGAGAGCTAAGGCGGCGAAGCTGGAAATATTCACCTTTGAAGGAACAGAGTTAACTCTGAACCCAGTCTGCAACTGCTTTATCACCATGAATCCGGGATACGCCGGGCGTAGCGAACTTCCAGATAACTTGAAAGCTCTGTTCAGGTGCGCCCACTTTAGCCCTCTCGCTAACAGGATGAATGATTAACTTCATTACTTTGTCCTTATAGACCTGTCGCTATGATGGTGTGTTCTTTGCTTTGGTGCACTGTTTTCCTTGGGAACTCTGTCATCTAATGCTTTAATGGTTGGCAGGTGCCCGATTACACTCTAATTGCAGAGATCAGTTTATACAGCTTTGGCTTCGTCAATGCCCGTAGCTTAGCGGTGAAGATCACAGCTACCTACCGACTATGCTCGGAGCAACTCAGTTCTCAGGATCACTACGATTACGGCATGAGAGCTGTGAAGTCCGTTTTGAATGCAGCTGGAGCCTTAAAGTTGAAGTATCCAAATGAAAATGAGGTAGCTACGTTTTGATTGTACCAGTAAGACTGGTTTTACCCTTCTAAACTCTGACTTGGCTTTGCGAAAGAATATCCTTGTTCTCCGGTCCATCATTGATGTTAATCTGGCAAAATTCCTGGTTCAGGATATTCCATTGTTCAAAGGCATTGCGGCGGATCTATTCCCGGGGGTCTCGTTGCCTACACCAGACTACGAGAAGCTTATCAAAGCCATTCAGGCCAACTGTGCACGTTCAAATCTGCAACTGGTTCCAGCTTTCCTAGAAAAGATCTTACAGATCTACGAGATGATGTTGGTGCGGCATGGTAGGTGGTAGCAATATGGCTTATCGTCATAGCCTGTGCTAATAAGTACTTTAGGTTTCATGTTGGTGGGAGAGTCATTTTCTGGAAAGACTGCTGCTTACAGAGTCCTGCAAGGTGCACTCAGCGATATGAACAAAGAAAACGCAGAACTGGAGGCCAAGGTCCTGACCTACGTTTTGAATCCGAAGTCGATCACCATGGGTCAGCTGTACGGGCAATTTGATCCGGTTACGCATGAATGGTCTGATGGAGTTCTGGCAGTGGGCTTCCGCGGTTTTGCTTCTTCCCAAAGTCCCGAACGCAAATGGATCATATTTGACGGTCCCGTGGATGCGGTTTGGATTGAAAATATGAATACGGTGCTTGATGACAACAAAAAGCTCTGCCTAAACAGTGGTGAAATCATTCAGCTTTCGTCGACAATGAGCATGATTTTCGAAGTCCGCGACTTGGCGGTTGCGTCTCCAGGTACGTTGAAATCGTGGGTTCTTTACTTGCAGCACTACTTAACCCAAGCACTGTAGCGACTGTCAGTCGATGTGGTATGATATACATGGAACCAAGTCGCCTAGGCTGGCGAGACACAATATTTGTGTCCTGGTTAGCTCGAAGTCAGCTGGATGAAGGCCAGAAAAAGGTGATGGTAGCCATGATTGATTGGCTTGTGAGCTCATGCTTGTCCTTCGTGAGAAGGGAATGCGTTGAGCTGTCTGAGACCAGTGATATCAACATGGTCACCTCACTTCTCAATATCTTTGAAAGCTTGCTGGACGACTTTGCACAAGACAAATCAGCTGAACTTACTACTCGATGCATTCAAGGAGCGTTCATCTTCTCGCTGGTTTGGTCTGTCGGCGCGAGCGTTAATGAAAACGGCAGAGCAAAGTTTTCCCAGCACCTGCGTACACTCTGCAGCGGCGCTTTGCCCAACGGGTTTTCCTTTGATGCCCAATTCCCGGAAGGAGCCGTATATGACTTCGTTTTTGAAAAAACTGACGGGGGATCTTGGCGACCTTGGGTGGACACAATTCCTACTGACTGGGCTATTCCATCCAAGATGAAAGTGGACAACATCATGGTTCCAACGGTGGATACAGCGCGGTATGGATTTTTGCTTCAGCTCTTGGTCCGGCATCAGAAGCATGTTCTGTTTGTTGGACCGACAGGAACTGGAAAGTCGATGTACATACGCGACGGTTTAGTCAATCGTCTGCCCAAAGATGTCTACATACCTGCTTTCATAAATTTTTCGGCTCAAACTACAGCGAATCAGACTCAGGAGATAATAGAGTCAAAGCTTGATAAACGCCGCAAAGGAGTTTATGGACCACCTATGGGGAAAAGGTCGGTGATCTTTGTGGATGATCTAAACATGCCGGCCCGTGAAGTGTATGGAGCGCAGCCGCCGATTGAGTTGTTGAGACAATGGATGGACCATGAAGGTAAGCCTTCAATTCCATTCCCTCTCTTGAATCCGGCATTTATCAATGTATTGGCAGGATGGTACAATCAAAATGTTATGACGGTAAGAAGCCCCGATTGTTAAAGCGCCCAGATGGTTTTACTTATGACCCTACCAGAAATTTGAGGCTATCCAATTTGTTGGTGCCATGGGACCTCCGGGTGGTAAGTGCGATTAAGCCCGGGTTTATTCCTTCGAGGCACCGGGGCTAACTTTCGCTCTCTTGCTTTCATCAAGGGGGCCGTAACCCTGTGACTTCCCGGGTGCGTTCTGCTTTCACGCTTCTCTTTGCTAGTATCTAGTCTGACAGCATGCACTTTCCAGTTTCTTCGACACTTCAACACAATTACTATGACCTCTTTCGATGATACGGCCTTGCACCGAATTTTTGAAACCATCTTGGTATGGCATTTGACGTCCAATAATTTCCCAAAGGAGATTATCGATATGTCGAAGTCAGTTGTCGATGCCACCCGACAGATTTACAGAGGGGCAATGTCAAATCTCCTGCCAACTCCTAAGAAATCTCATTACACTTTCAATTTGCGCGACTTTTCCAGGGTTATACAGGGAGTTTTATTAGCTCGTCCGGAAACGGTCAGCAACAAAGAAAAGATGGTCCGACTGTGGCTACACGAAGCGTATCGTGTTTTTTATGATCGGTTGATTGATGATGATGATAGAAAATGGTTCTTCACCTTCAGCAAAACGGAAATTGTCAAAGCCGCCTTTAATCTCGAATTCGATAAAGTCTTCCGCATGTACGATTCAAATGCTGATGGAATTGTAGAAATCGATGATCTACGAAGTCTCATTTTTGGAACATACCTATCTCCTCGGGATGCAGCCGGCAGAGCTTATGATGAAATAACAGATCTCAATGCACTGACCGAATTTATGGAGAAAAGCTTGGGAGAATTTAATCAAGTTAGCAAGAAGCCCATGGATTTAGGTATCCTAATGCTTCAATCCCTGTTTTTCATATTTTTTGAATCTAACGCAGATTTTCTGGCAGTAATGTTTCGGTTTGCTATTGAGCACCTCTCCAGAATAAGTCGAGTTCTGCAACAACCACGCGGCAACATGCTGTTGGTGGGTGTTGGTGGGAGTGGTCGACAAAGCTTGACTAGGATGGCGGCATATCTTGCAGAATATGAGGTGTTTCAAGTGGAGATATCAAGAAATTATAACGCACAGGCGTGGCATGACGATCTAAAGAAGTTGTATAAGTCGGCAGGCGGTCTTGGCAAGCCTACTGTGTTCTTGTTCAGTGACACGCAATGTCAAGAAGAATCATTCCTAGAGGATATTAACAACATGCTGAATGCTGGTGAAGTACCAAATCTTTTTGCGGCCGATGAGAAGCAAGAGCTGTTTGAACTGATGAGATCGGATACTCGGAGCGCTGGACGTGCAGCGGATTCGTCACCCGCAGCAATGTTCCAGTGGTTTTTGGACCGTTGCCGAGAAAACCTTCACATATGCCTGTGCATGAGTCCCGTCGGTGATGCGTTCCGCAACCGTTTACGCAAGTTCCCATCCCTGATTAATTGCTGTACAATCGACTGGTTTACCGACTGGCCAGATGACGCACTGATGGCAGTAGCAAAGAAATGCTTGTCGGATATCGAAATGGAGGACGACGTACGAAAAAATGTGGTAGCAATGTGCAAGCACTTTCACGAGAGCACCCGTGCGCAGTCAACTAGATTCTTGAGCATCAATAAGAGACATAATTATGTTACCGCCACCTCATTCATCATGCTTATCAAGACGTTTAAAGACCTGCTGGGGTTGAAACGCTCAGAGGTGCTTAAACTTCGAGATCGATATGTGAATGGTTTAGAGAAGTTGAGTTTTGCAAAAGCCTCCGTCTCCAAAATGCAGGTGGATCTGGGTGAGCTACAACCGCAGCTCATCAAGACAAAGGAGGAAACAGATGTTATCATGCGTCAAATTGAGAAAGAATCGGTTGAAGTGGCACAGGTGAAGACGGTAGTTAAGGCGGATGAAGAGGTTGCCACTAAGAAAGCAAATGAAGCGACGGCCATAAAAGAGGATTGTGAAGCTCAATTAGCAGAGGCTATACCCGCTTTGGAAGCCGCCATAGCTGCTTTAGATACCTTGAAGAAGGTTTGCGTTTACATTTGATTTGTTTAGGCTTGACTATCATGCTGAAATGTTTCCAATTACTTTGTAGAGTGACATCGATATGCTCAAAACAATGAAGGTGAGTAGGTAATGGCTCACCTGGTCTCCATCAATGTTTCTCACTATTCGCATCGCTGCTTCCACAAATAGAGCCCTCCCTCAGGTGTAAAATTTGTCATGGAGGCAGTATGTGTCATGAAGGATGTCAAACCTGTCAAAGTTACCGATCCTAGCGGAAAGAAGGAAGAGAGTTATTGGGTTTGTACCCTCCAGTTTGCGTCGCGGAATATGCCTTCTGTGGGAGGAACTTACTGATTGTGCTTCGCGACAGGTTCCGGCCCAAAAGCTGCTCGGAGATGCCGGATTTCTACCCAGCTTGAAATCCTATGATAAAGAGAACATTGACCCCAAAATAATGAAAGTTATTCGAGGAAAATTTATCGATGTAAGTTGGCAGGTATCTGAAAAGAAAGCCGGGGCTCGATCTGAAAAAGCAAATTACTTCCTCAGCATCCGGAGTTTGACCCTGAAAAGGTGGCCAAAGCGTCATCCGCCGCAGAAGGTCTTTGCCGCTGGGTGCGTGCAATGGAGTCATACGATCGAGTCGCTAAAATCGTAGCACCGAAGAGGGAAGCGCTCGGCAAAGCACAGGCGGAACTTGCCGAGGTGATGGCAAAATTAAATGAAAAGAGAGCAGCGCTGAAGGCTGTCGAAGACAGAATGTCCAACCTTGAGGAAAAGTTCCGGGCCATGACGGATAAGAAAGATCAGCTGGAGAAGCAAGTTGAATCTGTATCAAACCAGTTGGTTCGAGCGGAAAAGCTGATCGGCTCTCTTGGAGATGAGCGAGACAGATGGACGCAGACTGCTGCCGACTTACAAAAGCAGTATATTGCATTGACAGGAGATGTGTTAGTGGCAAGTGGCATGGTCGCATACTTGGGCGCTTTTACCAAGGCATTTAGAGATGGTAGGGTACTATTTACTGTGATTCAATATCGCTTTTGTACTGATCTGACCCATTGCAGAATGTGTTGTCGAATGGACGAGAGCCTGCAAAGCTAAAAGGATACCCTGCTCAGAAACGGACGACATCAAACTCGCCAGCGTTCTTGGTGATCCTATTTTGATACGGGAATGGATATTAGCAGGACTTCCAAATGATGCATTCTCGTAAGTTGGCATCCTTCTGCCTGAACTCCCCTCGATACCACTTATAAACCTATCATAACCTCATGCATAGAATTGACAACGGTGTGATCATCAAGAACGCATACCGTTGGCCTTTAATGATTGATCCACAAGGACAAGCGAACAGGTGGATCAAGAACATGGAAAAGGCGAAGAACCTACAGGTCATCAAATTGACGGATGCGGACTATATCCGTACTCTTGAGAATGCTATTCAATTCGGGACTCCGGTTCTCCTGGAGAATGTTTTAGAGGAAATCGATCCTGTCCTGGAGCCCTTGCTTTTGAAGCAGACATTCCGTCAAGGAGGAGTCACCTGCATACGACTAGGAGACAGCACCGTGGAATATTCCCCAGAGTTCCGATTTTATATAACCACCAAACTTCGAAATCCGCATTACCTACCTGAGCTTTCCACTAAAGTAACATTATTGAATTTCATGATAACCCCTGAGGGACTCGAAGACCAGCTTCTTGGAATTGTTATAGCCAAAGAACGGCCTGAGTTGGAAGAAATGAAGGCACAACTTGTTATACAGGTATCGTATTACTGGGGACATTGAACGCCGCCAACGTGTTTGTCAAGTTATACGAAGATGCTGACTAACTTTGCTGCCGCCGTACAATAGAGTGCCGAGAACAAAAAGCAGTTGCAGGCGGCCGAATCCAAAATTCTTGAAGTGCTATCCTCTTCTCAGGGCAACATTTTGGAAGATGAAACTGGTATTCAAATTCTTTCCTCCTCGAAAGCCCTGGCGGTAACTGTTAGCGAGAAGCAAGTTGCGGCAGAGGCAACAGAGCGTAAAATTGATGAAATTCGCGTTGGGTATAAACCAATAGCGCTCTACGCATCCGGCCTCTTCTTTTGCATTGCTGAGCTGGCGAACATTGAGCCAATGTACCAGTACAGTCTTACGTGGTTCATCAACTTATTCATCCACTCTATCGAATCAAGCGAGAAATCATCGGATTTAGTAACCCGCCTAGCGACCTTACGCACGCATTTCACAGAAGCTCTTTACAGAAACATATGCAGATCTCTGTTTGAAAAGGACAAGCTTGTGTTCTCGTTTCTCTTAACCATTGCTATTCTGCGGGGACGTGGGGAGATTGATGCGGACGAGTGGAGATTCCTTCTGACTGGCGGAATCGGTCTTACTGCAACGAAAACACCAAATCCGGATGCTTCATGGATTAGTGACAAATCCTGGAGTGAAATATGTCGACTATCTACATTGACGGCGTTCACAGATATTGATAAAGTGTTCAGCGAAAACGCAAGCGACTGGAAGCGCATATTCGATAGTCCCACCCCGCAGGACCTCTCCCTTCCTGGCAAGTGGAAGGATACGTTAAACCCTTTCCAAAAACTCTGCGTTCTTCGTACTTTGCGTCCGGATAAGATGATTGCCGCCATATCTTTGTTTATCATCGAGAAAGTGGGAAATCGGTTTGTCGAACCTCCACCATTCGATCTAAGCAGTAGTTACGCTGACTCAAATCCATGCGCCCCACTGATATTCGTACTTTCGCCTGGGGCGGATCCCATGACGAGTCTGCTCAAATTTGCAGAAGAAAAGAGAATGGGGGGTAATCGCCTGAATTCTATTTCGCTTGGACAGGGACAAGGACCGATCGCCGCAAAAATGATCAGCGCAGGTGTGAACGAAGGCTCCTGGGTGGTTCTTCAAAACTGTCATCTTGCGATCAGTTGGATGTCTAGTCTTGAAAAGATCTGCGAAGAACTTTCGCCGGAGTCTACACATAGGGACTTCCGTTTGTGGTTGACCTCATACCCTAGCGACAAATTCCCCGTAACATTACTTCAGAACGGAGTGAAGATGACGAATGAACCGCCCGCAGGCTTGCGCGCCAATCTGCAAAAGTCATATATGAGCGATCCACTGAATGATAAAACCTTCTATGAAGGATGTAAGCAGCAACAAGTTTTTGAGAAGATGCTGTTTGGCTTGTGCTTCTTCCACGCAATGGTACAAGAACGAAGGCAATTTGGACCAATAGGATGGAATATTCCGTATGAAGTGAGTATCGATTCTCCAAACGTCCTGGGTACTGTGATATTTTACTGATAAAAAAACAGTTCAACGATACAGATCTCAGAATATCCGCGCGACAGTTACGAAATTTCCTCAGCGAATATGACGACATCCCGTACGATGCACTTGCGTACTTGACCGGTATGTTTAAGACTATATGATTCCTTGCAGCTTTCCACGCTCAATCCTATAACAGGGCAATGCAATTACGGTGGACGAGTGACCGATGACAAGGACCGACGTTGCTTGATGACATTGCTCGATCTCGTGTATAACCCAGGCATCCAAAAGGACAATTACAGCTTTTCCCCCAGCGGGGTCTATCACGTTCCCTCGACAACAAGTCATGCCGGGATCCTAGACTATATCAAAAATCTCCCATTGGAGACCAGACCAGAAGTGTTCCACTTACATGAAAACGCCGACATTACGAAAAGCCAAATGGACACGGAAAACTTCTTTCGCTCGATAATGCTAACCCAGGGACGAGCTGACTCTGGTGGCTCGCGTTCCACAGAACAAATAGTTTCTGAAGTCGCTGCCGATATGCTCAATAGATTACCACCGGCGGTGGATACTCAGCAAGTCTCCACCAAGTATCCCGTGAGCTACATGGAAAGTATGAACACGGTGCTACTCCAGGAAGTGATTCGATTCCGAAATCTGACGGAGGTCATACGTGAGAGCTTGATCAACATTCAAAAGGCCATTAAGGGTTTAGTGGTCATGTCCTCTGATCTGGAAGATGTGCTACAAAGCATCCTGGTTGGCAGCATACCTAAAATGTGGGCAGGAAAATCATATCCCTCCATCAAACCTCTGCCGTCCTATTTTAACGATCTCCTGCAACGCCTTACGTTTTTCCGGAAATGGATTGACGAAGGACCGCCAATTGTCTTTTGGCTCAGTGGATTCTTTTTCACCCAAAGTTTTCTTACGGGATGCTTGCAAAACTATGCCCGGAAGTACACCATTCCCATCGACTTGTTGACGTTTGAGTTTCAAGTACAGCCTACCCGCAGTGCTGGGGTACGCCCGGAAGAAGGCGCTTACATCAATGGAATTTTCTTGGAGGGGGCCCGATGGGATATTGAAGAGAATTCAATTGTAGAGAGTTATCCAAGGGTTCTTTATGATGCATTGCCCATTATATGGTTGAAGCCAGGAGAGAAAACGAAATTTGAATCGAAAGATACTTATGACTGTCCGGTAGGTTGCCGGGGCAAAGTTACCTTGCTGCTATACTCTTCTAACCTACAACGATAACTGCAGGTGTACAAAACTAGCGCGCGAAGAGGAACGTTGTCAACTACCGGGTAATATATACGCAAGTCAGTAAAAGATCATTGAATCATCCGCTGACAGAGACTTTACACAGGCATAGTACCAACTACGTAATGTCCATGCGGATACCAACGAAAGCGCCAGAAGAGCAATGGATAAGAAGAGGTAAGATTAGGTTTATAGACTCAGTGAACAATGTCACTTACTTACGAAACCAATGCATTGCAGGAGTGGCTGGCCTACTGCAACTTAACGACTGATAAGAGAGCCTGAAGCAGACTAATTGTTGCCTATTCTTGTATTTACGATTTGAATAAATATGTCTCTAACCAGTCGAACTGCTGGTGGAAGCCAGCTGGAGTTTTGTACTCGAACAAAATCGCTGTCACAAAGACCTAGGAATACCGCGCACAAAACACGGCATGTATATACAGCTAAATGGGTGAAATTCATCTGGAGTCCCTAAGCTAGCTATCTGCTCCACCGTCGGTGCCTTCAGCCAACCGATGAGATTCTACTGACTCAGATATCCGAGCTTCGTCACTTTCCTGGTCTTTCTCTCTTTTCTGGGTGCGCTCCTTCTGTAAGCGTCTGACTAAGTCGGTATAATCCGACTTCATCTTTTCACGGTAAGGCACTCCTGATTGATGGCCAGGTGTTGTTAGCGTTTGGTGCTCAGATGACCTTAGCAAGGTAGAAGTGATACGTGCCTGCGTAAGTCACACTCTCGTGTAATTCATTCTTGATGCTACTTGTCACGTCCGTGATGCGTGCCTCAATATAGTGCAAACGTCGCATCAGCTGTTCGCGTTCTGCTGCTTCTTTGAGACGTGCTTCCGAAGAACCCTCATATCCTTTGCGAAAGAATCGGCTGTCGGCATTGTATTAGATGCATCTCAAACGCGCGGCGCAGACTCCGTTCAGAAACTTACAGTGGATCCGAGGCTGTACGTTCAAAGGCTTCAATCTCATGTAAGACACTCTCTCGTGCAATAATGTGTTCGGAGGCGATCTTCCATAGCCGGATTGCCTAAGGAAGTGGTACATGAATGAATACGGGCACATTCAGGTATTATCCGCATCAGAGTTAACTGTTCACCGTTTCTAATTTCGGGGCAAATCGATGGCCTCCGTACTTTATTGCCATGTCCAGTTTCTGATCTGCCGGCATTTTAAGTGTTACCCAAAGAGCTTCTAATTCGTTTTGCATTCGGTGGATATCTACAGAGTCTGGTCTCCCGGCAGAGTGTTTTATATCCGCCGTCTTCGGGGTAGTGGGTGTTTTTGATCGTTCAGGTAAGCTTGCGGTGACCAGTTCTCTTGAAAACCTGTATGCAAGATATCAGAATGCTAGAAGATCATGGGGAAAGCAAGGGTAATCATACCCATCTTCTTTGTCATCCTTGACTATGGCATTATTCATTGGTGGAACGTCAACAGGCTCTTGGTCAGATGGCGCTGGCTGGCTGGTGAACGCCGCATTGTGAAGTTCTTCCATAAAGTCCAGAATCTTGGGGTTCCATTCACCCCTCGAGTATGACAGCATCTGTCGGCGCTTTTCCGCCCTCTCCCTCCTCTCATTTTCAATTTTCTTTCGTTCTTCCTCGGCCCGAGCCGCTGCCTCTGCTTCCTCTTGTGCCCTCCGGAGCGCTTCCACGTTTTCATCCTCCTTATACAATAAATCGAATACGAAATCGGTAGTTTTCGTTCGAAGAAACTCGAGATAGTCTTGAAAACCGATGTCACTGAAAGCTTGGCGACTACGTTTCTCAACATCAAACGGTATATAACCGCCGTAATTATATTGAAAGGCACCGTCATATCGTGAGGAAATCGTTTTACGCATTGCTGCCTCACGATTTCGGATGTATTCGTCAGCTGGGATGGATGGACGTTTTGCATCTTCGCGCGTTCGTAACCGTACGGCCGGCACAGAAGCTCGACCGCCTGTTGAGGATGTGGTGGTTGGAGCGGCGGCAGCTGGCTTCGCATGAAAGAGCGGCCGGATGAGAGCTGGGTCGGTAAGTCCTTGCCACGCGTAATTTACGGGGCCCTCAACATCGATTGGAGCTGCAGGACAGGCAAAACTATCCTCGGGGGCCACTAATTGTTGAATGTCAGCAAGCGCTAGCACTTACACGACAAATTGAACACCTACGGTCATCTGGCTCCAAGTGTGATTGATCCAATGTTTTCATTATCTCGTCGTACAGTTCTTCGACTTCCTTGTATCTCGTCAGCTTTTCATCTGACGTCCACATGAGTATCGTTTCTGCAGTCCAGCTAATGCTCGCAAAAGCACAAACCTATGCTGTTGAGCATGTTATTATTCACATCACTTCCAAATTCGCTGACCGCAGCTGCTGGTTCGGTTGCCAGAGTGATGAAACCTTTCGGTATTCTCTCCGACACATGAGACTGGACCGGTCTCATTATTTTCTACAGGGCTGTGTTCTCAGAGTATGCACCTTTCGCCAACCAAATGACGCGGAAAGTACCTTTTCCTCTTCAAACATTTTGACGGCGGACGGTGCATTCTTTTCAGACGGAGGCGATGGAGGTAAGGACTGCGTAGGAATTGGTTCAATTGATAATACGGCTCAATAGGCCCGGTTAACATCACATTCTTACCACGGTGTCGAACATACTGTAATCAAAATCAGTTAAATGTCGTTTGCGATACTTGCTTAATGGTAAGTATCGAGTCCTCGGAACAGAAATCTTGAGACAATTCTGTAAGTCCAAGGATTACAAATACGAAACGCAGCCGGTCCCACCTCTTCCTTGAGGTCCATCTGTCGGCGGAAAGTTGACAGACCCGTATGTCCTTGCAAGAGAGGGTTATCCCCTTCTGCCAAACACAACGCTGCGCAGTCTTGAGCATCATCCTCAGGGTAGCTCAGATCATCGAAAGATTCTTCATCATCATCTGCCCCTTCAACGGAGAGTTCCCATATTCTTCCTTTGTTTATATGAGTTGTGGAGGGAAACTCAACAATTTCTTCCGATAGAAGACTGGGTCGATGGCCATTAACAGGCACGAGAGTCTTTCGTCTCAATTCCAAATGTGCCGAGGATCGTCGTGATGAACGTCTCAGCAATTTTTGTATATCATTGGGCTCATTCGACGCAGCCGATATCGATGATTGCCGCATGGAGCGACGAATTAGTTCCGTCTGGTGTTTGCCAGTAACAACTGGCGCCTCGAGCTTGGGAATAGCATGTGTAACTCTTTCTAACGCATCCTTCATCTAAAACCATCGTCTCGCAAGGTTATAGCGCGAAGCAACGTACAGCGTCGAAGAAAATTACCTCTTGGACTTCCACCTTCAAAGGGTCTCCAGGTCGGAGAAGGCTTGTATCGTGAAGTGTTTGACCACCTTCTGTATCAGCCAACGCTTCTTTCATTATTTTTTCAGTATCTATTCTAGATTTCAGTTCATCAGACAAGTATTTCAGTCGTGATATCATGATGGTCCTGCTCACCGGCGGTTAAGCTCTGTTCTGAAGAATGCCCGTAGTCGCCCACTATTCACAGTCTGATCAAAGATGCTTGCATGCTCCATTTCTAAGAGAAAAACGTCAAGTAATATTCCCGAGCTAAGTACATTATGACGACTTACTCTCTTTTTTGCGCCGACAACTTCGCAGAACGTCATCTTTCACCATGCCTATATGACTTATAACGCTGATAGCAACAATGCGGTTCTGAGCCGGCGTCAGTTTTGAAGTAATGAAATCTTGTACTTGATTATATCGTGCTGCCAATTCAATAATCAACGTATTTTCCTGGTACAAAGGGGTCATCAGCGAGCGATGCAGTTAGAGGCGTTACTCATCTATTTACCAGGCTCTCTCGCGCATCTGGCGGAAGCCAGGTAACATTTTCCATTTCAGCGACCATTCGCTTTAGATGTGAGTTAATCGTTCCCATGCCTTCTGTCACTCGTATGCTGCTTTCTGCACATGACAACGGCGTTAATACGGCGATTGGGTGTTCGACTAATTATCAAGAAGATACCAGCAGCTGTAGGCGGTGCTTGGCTAATTGGATTTTTGCCTAGCATATCTTTCTGCATGGATATCAGCTCAAAGCGCCTAAAACGACGAGATTGCAAATAGAGTTTACTTACATCTACTCTCGCGAGGGGCTTCAGAGCGAGCTGCTGATACCCTGACTGTCCTAACATCTTTCGGAACTTCTTCCTCATGACGCTTCTAGGAATTTCTGTGGTTGGGACATCCGTTACTGACAGAATCGACTGCCTCCCTCGTTGAAGCACACGCAGTTGCTTTCGAACAATATCTGTGTGCTCGGCTTTCTCCGCCGCCCTCCGAAAGCAGGCGGGAAGGTGCTGCAACTCGCATGGATCAAAAAGCGACAATATCCTGCCTTCTTGCAGGAGATGTGGGTTAGGTTGCACATCATGCATGGTTGGACCTTGTCAATGGCCGAAAAAGTAGAGCTCGGTGAGATCCAGGTTGAAGTCCGAGCATTGTTGGCTATCACGTAATCATGTCATATAACCATTTTGGGATATATTACCACTTCGATCGTTTTCGTTTTGCGTGCATTGCTCTAGAGCCCGATAATGCACAAATCACTGATTGGATGTACGGAAGTTGGCTCGACAGCAAAAGAGCCTGCTGATATTGGTTTAAAACATCATCGACGCACGGAGAGAAGTAGAGATCTACAGAATATATTGGTTGTAACTACCGCCCGAAATACTAGCATTGGAAATCACATCTTACAGAGAGCCAACTGGCTCTGACCATTTGGCGCTAATCCGCCGGCAAGGATGATATTTGGTTGGGATGTCACGTTTACAACAAGCGTCCCTTGCTAAAGGTACTTCACACTTACAGTTTTTGATGTGATTAGTCCACCATAAACCCACCCAAAACAGCGCCCTCGCCCAATCATTTGTTCAAATACTTGTGAAGCGGCTTGACGCGGGCCCGCTTCGATAGACCCAATCGCAGTGGCAAGGCATTAATGCAGGGAATTGGGCTTTCCGCCGTTCTTGACGCATTATGTGGAGGTGGTACAGGGGACGTTATTGCACTTGTAGCCAATCTTGAATTCTCGGAGGGAGATTGCTCCTTATCAGTTGATACGGCCTTCATTCCAGTCGCATCGTGCTGATCTGTGGATATCGGCCGTTTCGTACGCTTCTCAGATTGTAGCTGTTTCTGACTCTGCGGATATGTATTAAGGTTGCTTGAAGGTGTCCTATTTGAAGATGATTTTCTTTTGGATGCAGACTTGCTATCTCGCGTGCCAGTGAGACTGGGAGGCTCAGCCCCGTCTTCATCAGTTCCATGGTTTTGAAGATCGGCTTCGGCATAATCATCTGATCCAAACATGTTCTGGCGCAAGGTACTGTCTTCCCCATTGATAGTCGATTCTAACATTAAGGATCATGTCAACATGATGACAGCGCCGCCTTTCCAGCTTACTGTAGTAGGCTCACCAATTTGCTTAACACTATGATGTTCCTCCCGTTGAGACCCCGCGGTCATCAACTTGTTGGCGTGATCAGATAATGGTTTCGGTGATTGCCGTCGCGGTTGTGAACGAGATGTAGGCAGTACAACTTGCACATTATCACTGCCGCAACGTTCGTCTTTCATGGACAGCTGAATAGCCTTTTGAAGGTCTGCTTGTTCCTTACGCTCCTGACCGGCAACGTTGCTTGAGTCTTACTTGTTCATATCACCACCGTAATTTCAGAAAAACAAACCTTTACACTAAGGCGTTTATTTTCTGTCCGACATTGTTCTGATGAACTGGAGCGCTCTTCAGGGATAGCTGATGTTCGCTCTCAATGAATTTCTCAATAGCAGAGAACCGGAATGTTTAACTCTTGAAGGCGCACCAGAAGTTTTTTGCTTCTTTGTAGCATTGGTCGATGTCGAGTCTTGTTTTCGTCGTGATGGATGAGGATGTTCCCTCTCGTCGCCATCCAGCGATATGACCTCTGCATAGTTCACCGCCTTCCGGGTTCGCTGTGGGCGGCTCATAAGTACCTTGTTTTTCGTTTGGAATGTCAGGTTCTTGGGAGGGATGACGACCCCAGACGAGCTAACCGCTGGGCTGACCGCGTTCTCCAAGCCACCTGCCTCATGGCAACCTGCCAGCGTTTCCAGAGGTTTGGGGCCATTAACATTCCGCAACAAAAATGCCCACTTGCGATCACTTTTACAAGGCATTGCTGACTTGTCTCCTCAAATCTCCGTGCGTAGTAGAGCAGCGAAACACACCTCGCGAATGTTTGAATCCGAAATATGACGAAAACAGCGTATCTCCGGAATGTAGGCTAGCCCAGCGGGCGTATATCGAATGCAAAACGTCAATAGTGAGTTTCAAGATGCTATTGGTGTGTCTGCTATCAGAAACGATGCATAATAAATATATCTTTAGATGAACCCACGGAAACGGTTCAGAGGACCATATGGCGGAAGACCACCAAAGGAAGAAGACGAAGAGGAGATTTAAGAAACGAATGGAGAACTGAATATCTGCAATCTAGTACACGGACAGTGACTAATGGATAGCTGACATTTATTGACTGGCATGTCATGTATATCTTTGGAGCCCTGACATCAAAATCCAGCTGAGGAGCTCTGGCGACAAAGCTTGTCGAGCCAAAACGGCTACTGGGAACGATGTTGCTGCGCAGAGTGGGGTTCAACCACAACCACACTGGGAACTTGCCAGTCCTTTAGAATCCATGGATCTATTGTAGACCTGCATCATCAAATACGATATCCTCCTTGTGATCTTGTAGTAAGTTGCGATGAAGACTGTCATCATCACAATCGCAATCGCGTAAGCGTGGCTTGCACCAGAGAGGCGTCTTGCCGCCCGCTGCTTTTATCCGTACCGACCATCTTTAACCCACCCCATTACAGTTCTTTTTCGTCACCGACCAGCAAACCATGCTGCCCGTTTTCACTGATTATAGACATGAGCCAATTTACCCAGAGTCTTACCATCATCCGCTGAATGTACTATGGTTCTGTCAATCCTTTGCAGCACTTCTCCAAACCCTGCGAACCGGACGTTTTCTCCCTTCCCCGAAGGCTCCCCAGAACTCGCTTTTCACAAACCAATTCCGCTTGCACCTCATCACTCACACTATCTTCTACATCCTCGAATTGGTGTTCACGGACATGATGCATAGTTTCACCAGCATGGCTGTTCACCACATATTTGGCATGCTAATCTTTGGGTGGCTGTGGATAGAGTGGGAAGGTATGTCCACCGTAGTTTTGATCCCATTTGTGCTGCATGCCTGGTTTTGGGTGTGGAGCACCGGGACGAGTTGGATCTTGTTGAGTGTCTATAATTGGGCATTCCTTGCGGTCGGGATGGCTCTCTTTGCCAATAATACTATGTACGCCGTAAAATATGGACCAAAGAACGTTCCAATATCTTGGATCGGAGTGCCGTTCTTGTCTATAGTTGAAGTAGGTGTGAATGCGTTCACGTATTGCTGGAGTTACTGGGGATATTATTGTCCAGAAGTTAGGCCAAAAGGCTGGCGAGAGGCGTTCGTACTGTTCGGTGGAATAACGGCCGTTCTAACGGCTTGTGTTTTGGCTAGCGTCCTGACAACAATAAGGCTGACATCGGGTGCGAAAATCAAGGAAGCCTAGAATTGTATAGTTACAGATAGAGCTATAAAATAGATATAAATATTATCCGGGTGAGGGTTCTGCGAAAATGCATACATGTCTCGTTGAGTACAGCAAAACATGCTAACGGCTATGTGACTGGGTGAGAAGAAAGCAAATGAGTCGGTTTGCTAAGATTCTGTTTGCCGTTGCCGTTGCATCAGTGTTTCCTTTAGGGCCCGTATCCGCCTTTCTATTGATTCCATATCTGCCTTCTAGATACAGGACATATGTTAGCGATACTACACGCCGCGCATTGGCACCGGTACAACCCACCTCAACGCCAGATGTACCCTGCCCGTCTTCCTCTCCAACTCCAGCGTTACGATTGCCGTCCAGCGGCCCACTAGAGCTGCGGGTCCCGGCGCCTTGCACAGTCCGAGTACTTCCTTTCGCTCCCGCAGTCGATCGAGATGTCCGCCCACGACTTGATGTCGGTAAGGGAGGTACAACTGAGGCATGTAGGTCGCCAGTTGCGGTCCGTGTTACGACGGTCAACGGTGGTGGCATCTGTAAGACAGGATGCTATGTCATATTAGTGGTGTTCGTTACAGTTATTACAGTGGCATCCTGATGCTCACCGATTGTCTGTTTGGCTGGTTAAAGAAAAACGCCGCCCACGCAGGATAGTCCGCTTCCAGTTGTTGCAACCTGTCCTCAAGTGCCTTTATTCGCTGATATGCATCCAAAGGTGTTCGAGAAACTGCACAGAAAGAGGCTAAAGCGTCAATCTGATGTGTGACGCCTGCCTGCGCTACTACATACTCACCGAATTCAACGTTAAGGTGTTCCTGTACATTCTTGATACGCTCTTCAATCCCGTCAAGTGGTCGCGACGAAGTATCCTCATATTTAGCGGGTCTTTTGCCTGCAGGGTCTCGATGTGTTGATCTCTCAAGAGGACCGGATAGGTTATGAACAACATCTAGCTTCATTTGCACCGTCCGATTGAGCTGGGCGGCATCAACTCGAGCGCAAGTGCCTTTGAAGTTCAGAATCGACAGATAAGCCACCGCCCATCTTCGTATTAATACGGGGTCCATTCAACCTAGCCCTCACCCTCTTCAGATGCTTTTGGTCTTAGAAATTCCTTTCTGTTACTCGCATTGATTTGTGCACGCTTCGTCTCGATGAAGTTCTGTATTCGTTTATCCATCTATTTCCAAATGAGATGGCCTTCTGTATTAGTAGGTGAAAATGTGGACCTGCGCAAAATAAATCACCCACCTCTGCTTTATCTGCTCGGATTTGCACAAGTTCAGGATCCAGTCGTGCAGCTTTCGCGTCTCGTTCCTCCAAATCTGCACGTAGACCGACCACTTGTTGGAAATGCTACGTTGGGAGACTCCCAACCGCCATTTCACTCACCTAAAAGTTCAGCCGCTTGCTTTCGTTTCATAGGAAGTCCATTTACTTTTTCAATATTTAGTGGGTGCTCGACAGGTTGACTTGCTCGAGTGGATAGCTCCAAAAATGCAGACAAGACCGCGTTGGTTTTGATAGTGGTCAAGAATGCACACAAGGCATCCGGGGGAGCGACATGTCTCGGTCGTTGGTCAACCTGCAGAGCTGCACCTTGCGACGGGGCAATAACCAACCCTATTGAGAAAGTGTATTGTTAGAATAATCAAATCTGTTGCGTGAGCTGAGAGTTGACGACATACCTACACTCCCAAGAAAGTCGCGTATAGCACCGAGAACCGCATCGGTTGCAGTCTCACAACTGGCGACGTTAGGAGTTGAAGAGGCAGGGACATGTATATTCTGCACTATCGGTGGAGCTTCTGCATTGTCTATTTGAGGAGTGCTGTCGGAATGCGAGTTCATGGTCGAAAGCTCCTCGCAGCCAGACGGACTTTGGCAAACTAAGCGCTGCTGACGTGGAGGGCATTGGGTGAGTCATCCTGGACTGGGGATTCGAGGACTTTTTGACATCTTTCATCTTTGCCCTTCCCATTAGCAAGCTACAAAACAAACATGACGTTGCCTTACTTTGAATTTGTCTCGGTGCCAGGCTTTCATTCGCAAAAACTCGCTGGGTCGACGTTGCTCATGGTACACCCATCTCTGTCGCGATTGTGAATTTGCGGCCATCCTGATAACTGTCCACTGCTGTCTTAGCCAGGCCCGAATGGACTGGGGAATATCGGCCAGCTGGCTTTGGACCTTTTGATTTCTTCCCTTGATTTGATGAGAGTTGGCTTCATATCTTCGACATTGGTTTTGCCTGTATGTGGAAACGAGGACTATGGAAACGAAACGGCGCCGAACACGTTGCACACAAGTTTTGAAGGTACATGAACTCTGTACTGTATTTTGTCGGGATTATCACTCATACCTCATCTTCTGCAATAGTATATCAGTCGCGACCAAGTAATACAACGTCTATCACTCTCATCCAACTACGATCGCCTGTGATTACTGTGAGTTCCAGCAGGAAGGATACGGATTTGGCACATTACTTAGGGTATATGATTAGAAAAAGGGGGTGCTCTTTTCAAAATCCTTCGCGCACTGGGCTCAACAGATGGCTTTTGAGTCGGTAGTACTAGTAACAGCAGCAGACGCTGGTCGGCGCGTGGATGGGCAAATTCGCAGCGACCGATTACGGTTCATCTCCACCTCCGACAAATACGTTCACGCGGACCGTCTACAGCAGCTAGGATTCCCGAGATTAGAAGAGAATGAAACAAAACGTGCATGGGTAGCTAGCGAGCTGGCAAGTCCCATACCGCCAGGAGCTGGTGTATCACGATTCATTTTTGATGAGTTTCGGGAACTCAGTGTTCCGTTGTTGACTCTGATTTGGTTTGCAATTGAAGGAGGTGAGGCATGGCTCACTTTGTGTCATAAACGAAACATGACATAACACCAACTGCGTCTAGACAATTATCAAGACGCCCTCCAGCTTGCGTCGGCGGTCAGATCCTTGGTAAATCATGGGGAAGGTGCGGCTGAGCGCAATGCTTTATTAAAGATTCTTGGAGCTTAAACAATTTTTTACAGATAATTCAGAGCAGAATACATGGAAAACTCCATTGTCGTGGAAGGGATTATATGGCAATGCAATGTTCACGAAAGCCCTTTTCCAATAGAATGGAGCTAGACTAGCGGCTCGTCAGCCGAGCGATGATGTCTGTAACCATTCAGTTGGCATGACGCTCTTCATTAATGGACCCCGCAAAGATAACTTATGTAAAGCGTCCACGTGGAGGCAGATTGGTTGCGATACGGCTCCTATCGTCGCAACGGCTCATATTCAGCCAACAGCCCAGCTTGATTGTGCTGACTCTGGCATTTCTGCTCCTTTGTACATCAGGTGCGTGCACGAGCGCGCTGCCTGCGCTGCCTGGTTCCAAATAGTATGATGTGCTTGTCAATTTACATGCCACTTTACCGGAGATTATGTACAAATCAAAGCAGATCTCCCAACGCTTTGCTAACTCTATCTACAAGTATTGCCAAGAAGCTCGTGACGCTTCTATTTTTTGACTTTCAGCTTCAATTTTAGACCCTTCGGAGGCGCTCCGGCGTTTTCCGCCGAAGGCGTGATTTCAGCGGCAGGTTGGGACTTCGTCTTCTTGCGCTCGGAGGATTCGTTGGCTGCCTTCTTGCGCTTTACAGCTCCGGGCCCGCCCGCACGTTCCTGAGTCTGAAAGAGAAAGACACTTAGCATGGTTGCTGCGGTCTCATACAAAACCAATCTTGTCTTACCTGTGGTGTTGCTGATGATCCCGAAAGTATTCGTTCCTCCACGGCCGGATTGGCTTTCTGCTTTTTGTCCTTAACCTGACCCCCGTCATCCTTTTCTCTCTTGCGCTTTTTGCTGCCTTGATCACCCTGATAGCAGTCATAATCCATCAGACAAGCACCAGTGCGTAGTGATGGTGAGGCTTCATACTTACTGCTGCGTCCCCAGCGGATATTTGCTTTTCCATCAAAGTTTTCCATTCCTTTTTGAAAAACCTCTCCAATGCCACCCCGCAATTGTGTCCGTAACTGGTTTTCGCATTATAAAGATAGCAGTTGGCGAACAGTTGCGCCATATCGGCCTCAAATTCAGAAGTGTTATTGTACACGTGCTGATCCAGCTTTGTTTGCATCGTCTGCAAGTCGATCGGCGTTTTAATCTTGGTGTCATAGTCGGGCAAGACATTCGAATCCACAGGTTCCAAAAAAATTACGGCACTGCTATGCTCACGGAGCATTTTCAGCATCTTTTGGATGAGTTGTTCTTCTGAGGAGGACAGTCCAGGGTGTGCTGGGGCCTGTTGGGGACCCGGTGATGAGCTGCGAGAAAGAGGCTTCTGTCCCTCCCGTTTAATTTGTAAGGGGCTACTTTCGCGGCTCCCCCCTGGAAGTGACAGAGACTTCCAGTCCTTTTTGAAAGCAGCTTCAAGTCCTTTACCTTGCTCGTACACCCAGTCCCCTTGTCGTAAGATGTTAGCAGCCATCCGAAGAGGAGGGTTTCGCTGGTGGTTTTGATGTGTAACTTACCAGGTAGATTGAACCTGAAACAATTGTTGAGCATAAGGTTCACATCATCGCGAAATTCATCGCTAGCTTTGTATTCGCCACTTTCCAGCTTCTTCTGGATAGTACTGAGATCCATTGGCCGCTTGATAATATCAAAATACTGTGGAATGTTTAGCGCGACTGGATCAACAGGCTGGAGGAATGCCTGCGCATTTGGATGCCGCTGCAGTTTCTTGAGAATTCTCGCGCATGCCTTTCCGTCCGATGTCGACTTCAGTGGAACACCTCGGTTTTCTTGGTGGCGGGAGTCGGATGTTACTCGGGTGGACGTGTCCACCACATTGACAGAGATTTTGGGGGATTGGGGCCGTCCTTTAGCGACACTACTGGGAGCTGACCCAGCAGAGCCTGTTTTACTTCGTCCCCACTCGCGGTCAAAGATAGCTTCGAGATCCTTTCCTTGAATATAGACAGGTTCCCCGGGCCGATTGAACGTGAAGCAATTGGTGAATATGAGCCGCACGTCATTTTCAAATTGCTGAAGTGTCTTATAATTTTTATTCCGAAGATTTTTCCGGACGGTGGACAGATCCATCGGCTCTTTGATTATTTCAAAGTAGTCAGGATAAAGCGCCCTGGACACAGGTTGTAGAAATGGCCCCGCCGATTGAGTGGCACTTTCCATCCGCACAAGAGCACGTTCGCACCGTGCCGCATCCGTAGCAGATAACTCGCCCTTACTGCCAGAAGCTACCAACTTCGAATCATTGGTGTCTGCCATTGGTCGCAGTGCGTCTGGAGCCTGCGAGTTTTCAGGCCAGGTCTTTTCGAAAATATCGAGAAGTGCTTGGCTGTCCTTATGAACTTGAGTGTCAGGTGGATTGAACGTGATTGCGTTGTCCAGCATTAATCGGACATCAGCCTGAAACTCCGCGGGTGTAGAATAGGCATTTTGGTCCAGCTTCTTTTTTATGGTCGAAAGATCCATGGGCTCCTTTATTATTTCAAAATACGTGGGTATATTCAAGGCAACCGGATCCACCTAAAGGGCAAACGCGGACAGCGACAACTTAGTGATTCCTTTCAGTACGATCTGATCTTCTGCTTCAATGATACGCTTACCGGTACTCTAAACCAATGAGACAACTCGTGACTTTGTAAGATTCTCCATGTTTTCCTGCATCGTCGCATATCGTTCAAGGATAAGACTGGCTTCGGAATTGCTGGAGCCGGTAATATTGAGCGGGAAGGCGGTGCCGGTGGAGTTGGCGGAAGCGGTGCTGGTGGTGACGACGGCCGAGGTATTCTACTCGCTTTGGGTTCCGTCACTACACTTGGAATGCTAGGAATTGTCGCACTCTGCATGTTGTCCTCCTCCGTCGCCCTGTTCTGCATATCTAATGCCTCTGGTACCACAGACTCTTCGAAGAAACCTTCCAGCTTCTTCGCTTGCCTATGCACATTGCTTTCTTCGAGATTGTATTCATAGCAGTTTTTAAAGATCTGGCGGATGTCCATAAACAAGCGGCTTAAGTCGTCCGCGTAAATGCCTGCTTGCAGGTTTCTTCCTGCCGTTTGGAGATCCATCGGCTTTTTGATGACTTGATAGTAGTGTGCATG